GCAACGGCTTCTTCAACATCTTCATGGAGCCATGTTTCGCAGCATAATGATCCCTAGCTGTGCGTATTCCTGACAGTTAATGATGCTTTTAAGGTCTTCAATTTTTCCAAGAAGCTAATGTGCATTAGCGATTAGAACAGTGGATATGCTCAAGCTTTTCCTCATGAGGATAGTTTTCCTCCGCGCACGATGCTTTCGTCTAGGTTTATTCCGCTTTTTATACCTTATCATTTTATTCCTGACAGAACGAGTAACGTTGCGCGGAAACAACAATTTCAGAACATCGCGGGTATCATTTATCGTCTTTCTGATTGGGGAACAAAGCAGTAGCCGAATAAAACAATTGGTTTTTAGGAAATAACGTTGAACAAGTGTGTGTGTCTGTGTGTCAGTAGCTCCTTGAATGGGGAAACTGTAGAGCACGGACAAATTTGTAGGCCCCACCGAGTTTGTTCAATTACCTCCAATTGTTCAATATAAGCCTTAATCGCATGAACTTGACTCGTAGTGGCATAGTTACTTACGCCGACGATGTTAATTCAGAATATGAACGTTTCAGTTTGACATCGCGCAGGCAGGCTGAAGTGTCTTATGTTCATTCGTAATGTGACGCAACTCAAAAACACTGACATCCGTTCTCACCTACTTTCCAAACTACAGCAGTACCGTGATTATCTCAAGTCGTCATGTCACAATAACCTCTATACACTCCTATGGACGCATTTTCAGCATCGCACGTTATCACAGTGGATATGATACAAGATAACCTCAAGTGCAAATTGAAATGGCAAACGAAGAGGAACTGCATTTTCGCTCAAACTTACGCTCACGCGACTGGTGTTTCATTCCTACTGTGTCCACTAATAAGCCTGATATCTATTGCGAGATGGAGTTGCTATACGACGATGTATGGGAAAATAAAACCAAATATCGTTCTCGTGGGGGACTTAGATGCCGTAATGTCTAAAACTGTACTGGGCTTGATAGAGATCGTTTAGTGTCTTGGACGAGGTTTTGATTCACGCTAAAATCAGCAAGCAATTGTTTCCTTGGCCCAGAACATCTGTAATGAACTGCCAACGTTTTGTCACCAAACGAAACATCATCGGTGCAAACTTCCAGAGACTTCTCTGATACTTTTCATCGTTGATCTTGCCTAGTCTGATAACGAAACCTTTACAGGAGATACAAATATTCTCATCAGTTGCCATCGTGAATTAACTTTCAGTTGCAACATGTGAAGAATGTAATCCTTATGAAGAAGTCTGGAAAATAATGGGGGACAGTAGGAGCATCAGGAAAGAGTGCATGTAGTTACAAACCTTAGAATGAAGGCATGGAATATGAACAGCATTTTGAGCATGCTTGTGTAAAATGTTTAGCCTTGTGTCATTTCATAATTTTATGGAATATGTGTAGAACCATGATAAGTTATAGGTAGAATAAACACGGAGGTGCTTCACTGACAATGAACGGCGGATGCTTTGGTCACTCAAGGACAAAATGGGGTATTTGCGCGAAGAAATGCGTCGAAACTGAGAAAAATCACATCATATTACGACGCTTATAAGAATGAATGTAAAGGGATCGCGAATTCAACTAATTCACGAGTTCCTCTATTCCTCTTTGAGGTTTCGAAGGTTCCACAATTACTGGGGCTATGCACCCTAAGACGACGATTGGGGGGGTATGGAAGGACTTTTGATGTTGATGGAAAATAGAACAGGGGATTAGGTAGCTTCTTGCAAAATGCCGCTGTCGGCTATTAGTACAGAAGTCCTTATATCATGTGGCTGCGTAATGTTAATAATTGGTATATTCTCAACTGGTTGAGGCACGGCTCAGCTAAGCTGGTCCGATCATGAGGTAGGATATGTTACTTAGTCGCGCATAACATTACTTGCGTCTTGGAGACACCATTCACGAACAAAAGGTCTGGCAGTGAGAATCTGTCGAGGCTCCAAATGGCGTTAGTCTCATCGAGGAAGAAGTGCCTTACAGTCTTGTATATGCGTATATAATGGAAGCAAGCAATGTGCCAGCAGTTGTCATGACATCAACTCTCTAAATTGCCTCTGGAAGGTGACTGTTCGACTTCTGTCTAACCGCGCCGTCACTCAAATCATTGAAGCAAAAGTGGTTGAATGGAAATTCGGATTTCGTTCTAGCCACAGCACGATAGATATGTTGTTCCCGGCTCGTAAATCGCAGGAGAAATGGCGTGAGGGAAATCATTCATGGTACTCGCTGTTTTTCAACACGACACGGTGAATCGCGATGCACTTTGACTAGTTTTGGGTAAGTTTGGTTGCCCAGGTAAGTTCGTTACGCTTATTGCATGCCTGCGCCGTGGTAAGCGAGCGAGGAGGTAGCTAATGTACAAATCTCGGATGACTGATGTTGTCTCTAATGTGAAGCAAGGCTGTACTGTTTAATTTTTACCTAAGTGACATGATTTCCTATGCTTTCAGTGCTTGTGATTACGGTGCATTGAATTGTTGGTGTGTTGCTGAACATTCATCGTTTCAGAGCGGAAAACCCGAATTCGTGAAACAACTATCCGGATATCTTTGTTTGCCGACGACACTGCCTCGTTTATGCACAGCGATGATGGGTTGCAGCTCATGAAGACGGCTTTCGCATCGACAGCAGCCAACTTCGGACTCACCATCAACATGTGCACGAGTATCTTTTGAATTCGTGCCAGGAATGGAATTCGTGTGCTGCCCACAAATCAACTTTACTGACAATATTTTTGAAAACTCGCCAAATCTTTCCTACTTCGTAAACACGTTATCAGCAGAATTTTAGATGACCAGAGAGTTGTTCCCTCGCTTGTCAAGGGCGTGTGTGGTTTTCGGCATGCGTTTGGTAGAGCATTTATGTCTATTCGGAGGCTGAACCATTTGCACAGACGGTATGATCTCAAGCTGTCAATGGAAGGTATGGCTTTTAATGGTGCCGTGTGGACCAGACACCAGCTCATTCTGAGACCACTAAGAAATTGTTCGTTCTTGATCACAGGTGCCTACAGAGTGTTGCTCACATCTTGTGGCCTCACCGGGTGAACAATAGTTAGGTCTGCCAGTCTGTGTTCGGAAAAACCCTCTGGTATTGAACATTTCAAAGTTCGTTTCGGACCCCGTGTTTCCTCACTAAAGTGTCTGTTAAAGTTGTATCAGCCATGTGGTTAGCTCATGTTCTGCATATACCCGTTGGCGTGCATTATGAGCGTTGAGCAATAAGTTCCCGGATGCACAAAATGTTTTACTTTTCAACAAAACAGGCTTTACATTTCCCAGAAATGCTCTGCACGAGCGTTCATGCACAGATCCATGCCTTCAAACCATTTGGAGAAGAAAGTAGACCATGCTGAAATGGGCAACCTTTCAGTCAGCTCAATAAAGGTCTGTACTGCAGCTTCTGTAGACTCTTAGCGGATTCCATGCATCATGCACTTAACATTTGGGAACCCAGAAAAGTCACACGGAGCCAGGTCTGGACTGTAGGGTGGTTGACCAACCTCCTGATTGCGTTCTGTAGCCAGCAACGACTTGAGACCTGTGTGCAGGTGCACTGTCATGGTGCAGCAAGGTCCCTCTAGCTCGAGTCCTTGGACGATGCCTGGCTACAGCTTCCAGCACTTGTGGTAGACAGTGGGTGACGTACCAGTCTCCGGTGAGTGTGTTGTCGTAAGAGCGCTACAGTAGCCACATGACCGGTCTTGGCAACGCACACAGCCACCATCTACTTGGCCACACTGCGCTCAAGCTGCAATTTCTGTGATGGCGCCCCAACAACGACCGTCCACTAAACCGATTGTTGCTTGGTCTCTGGGTCGAAATGGTACATCCAGGTCTCATCACCACTGTGGACCTCCCAAACAGCATTGGAACGTCCACCATCAAACCTGGCAAGCATGGTGTGGTACCAGTTCACCTTTGCTGCTTTCTGCTTCTCACTGAACTGATAGGGTACCCAACGTGCGCAAACCTTTCTGAGGCCGAATTTCTAATATAAGATGATGCGGACTGATTCTGACGGCTTTCCCCAGCTGTATTACAGTCATCTGCGCATTCTTCTCCAGCGTCGCTTGCACAACAGCAATGTTGTCCGCGGTGGTGGCCTGCACAGGTCCACCACACCGTGCCTCATCATCCAGGGACCGCCTGTGACGTTTGAATTCCGCAAAGCACTCAAACTTCATGGCGCATCATCCAAGCGCAGCACGCAATCGCACAGCGCTCAGGTGCTGATTTGAACCACATTTGTAGTCATTGAGAATCACCGCCTTCCAGCGACATCGACTGAGTAGTATACTTACAGTGAGAGTATAGCGACCCTTATGACTTGTGGGCTGCGCTGGGCGGCTGATATAGGGTTCTGTGAGTTGAGCAATGTTCAGAATGGGTTAAAGTTTCCCTTTTTCTTACCAGGTCATCTACACTTAGTTCGTGTACTGCGTATTCGGAAACTTATTGCTCTGTCCTCGTATATGGTGTCGCTACACCAGGTCTGAGTTAGCTAGTGGATGACGTGGCATAAAGGCGTGAAGAAATTGACCGAGAGACTTAGTCAATCTTCGATGTGCACCGTCTTCGTGGATGTATACCTCGGTATGGGCCACGCCCGCTGTTGGAAATACCATCGGACATGGCGCCCTTGCACATGATTTCTTGCATCTAGCTGTTAATATTCTATTTGGAATAATTTAACTCGCATCTTCCCCAACCTCTTTCCTTCTGCGTTCCACATCATTTTACTCACCACCGTCTTTTATTATTATTATTATCTGGAAATGGGTCCGCCGCAATCCGATGTGCGGACCATGGTTATCTAACTGCACGGAACTGATTTCCAACGCGCACTACAATATGGGATGTTCTCACATTGCTACTCACCATATTTCCCATCACTTGTGGGCATCTAGTCCTATCATCTGGATCTGATGTGTTTGATGAATAAATTCCTCTCCCCGTTTGTCTCTCCACTTCCATCAGAATTCCCCACGCAACATCGCTCACTTGACCTGAGCCTTGTGCGTGACTCCACAGACTCCGTGCCCGTGTGCTGTGGTAAATCGTTTGCCGATCACGTGCCCCATCTCTCCACACCACACTCGCATGGTCCACCTCATCTTTTGGGTCCCGCAGTTCTAAACGCTATCGAACAGCTTACTGGTCGCGCTGAATTGCAGTCCATGCAGAGCACATCTTCCAAGAGATTTCCATTTGACCAACCGCATTCCGTTGACGACGATCGGAGAGTTCAATCCGAGTCTGATCTATGTGAGGTGAGCAGCGCCACCACTGTGATTACTGTCGCCGGTTCTTGTCTCTTATTGTGTCGTCCTCTCTGCAACCATTTACCTAGAACTTCAACGTGTCGATGGCTTTATAACTTATACGCTTTCGTTGATGGGTCGCTGAAGTCAGTAATCATTTGTTTGGTCACCTGCCTATAACCAACCTAGTAGATACAATAATGTAAGTCATATTTCGAACATTACCATATTCGGCTATCATTCGAAAGTGTGTGAGCTTTACGTTATCTTGTTTTGTGGTATTGGCTGCTCCTGGAATTAGCATTTCCCGATTTGTATTGACGTACGTAGATTTCACCTTCAAATCCGCCAGAAATGATAGCGTGCATCTTCACTTTGTGTAGGCACGTCTCTGATTTCATCGTCATTTGCTCCGTGGTCATTGACTTCCTTTGAAGTTACCACCTACACCGATCACCACTGGCATTACTATGACCGACTTGCTATGGAACGAAGCTTCAACTGGAGGATTTTTCCTCTTTCTCTCTTCGTTGTTGCAAACTGTAACCGACCCCTTCGCAGTGTCAATCAATCGGTTGAAGTAAACATACTCTTTTCTTGTATATATGCAGCATCTCTATGTTGATAACTGGGTTGGCATGAGCTTGTCAACCGCGGGTGTGGCATGTTCACGCGATCGATGTTGTGCCGCGACATACTGACAAGTGCGAGTTGCTTTCGTCTGAAATTGTTTACACGATTACATTGGAGGTTATTTAGACGAATCGCGTTGCATAGCACTTGCGTCCACTCCACTTGAGCTAATGCTTGCCCTTTGTTGCTCAGGTAGAAGGCTTTCTGGGTGACAATGATATAATGGTTGGTTTTCAACAATCATTTTAACCATCAGCAATATCATCATCTTTGCTTTCCACTTGTTTCCATAGCATGCCAGAATGTACTTTTCTCTCTTCATCCATTACTCCGTGGCGTCGAACTGGTCGGTCGACTTGCTTTCACCCTTTTCTCTGTCTCTATTCATCGTTTGCAGCTGTCACGCCTCGTTCGCTTCCTGTCACATTATATTTCCAATTATCCATCGGAATTGCCCACCTCACATCGAAGTAGGGCGCGTTCGCTGACTAGTCAGCATCATCTCGCATTTATGTGGAGTCACTTGCCGCCCGGGAGCCATCTGCTTTCTCAACCGGTGACTGCACGGCCCACTGTTTTGGGACCTCTTATGGAACCGCCACATGTCACCGGTTCCGATGACTCATCACCTACTCAGATGCTCCGCTCAAGGGACGAAGGTTCCAATGACAAAACACCATGCATGGACCAGTCGAGCACAGTTAGTATTACACACGGTTTATTTGTCCCTTTGTCCCTTTTCACCCCTTGGTCTCTGTGTTGCATGATCGTTGGCTGCGACCTTTAACCTTGATTCTCCTGTCGTATCACTTTTGGCGATCTAGTTATGTCTACTCTCATGTTTCTTACTCCTGGTAGCTTCTACTCAGAGACACGTGTTGCGTTTTGGGTTGCTGGTACGAGAGATGTGAGGTGACGCTCTTCATTCACACACCACACACACACACAAGTCTTGGATAGGTTGAGTATTTTCGCCGATTGTTTGCTTTTTGAGTGAGAAGGCGAGTCACCGCCCAATCCACATCTTATTATATTTCTATTTATCTTGTGGAACTCATCTACCATATTGCATTCGATCAGACTATCAGATAATTTCCAGCCTCCACCTTTCGCATTGGAAGCTGACAAACGCATAACTACGGAACACCGAAAGCCGGTTGTTTTTGACTTCTGAGTCATCTTTGCAGTGCCCACCGTGTGGTTGGATTGCCACACGCTATCTATTTTGTGACCTCCATTTACGTTGAGGTAGACCTCTGTCAATCCGATCACCAGGACCGTATTTGAAGTGGCTTCGGCGTTACTTCTCCCACCGCGACGAGACAGGATTTTAACGTGGTGTCATGGTTTATGTGCCTCAGTGATCCATTGAGCTATGCTGCATGATGCTTTTTGCACCTTCAGAGCCACTCATACAGGATTGGTCAATGATTAGAGGCCAGACAAACTCAGTTTCCTGGCTCTCCAGTTCGAAGGTTGGAGTGGGAGTGACTTCTTACTCCATCTACCGGACTTTTTGTAGCCCATTGACAAAACCCAGCCACCTTGCGGTAGGGTTTTTTAACCAAAGGCTTTGGTTGGGTACCTTGCTCATTCTGTCTAGGCCTAGATAACCTGACAGTATCGTGCCAGCGCGGTACAATGACCTTACATTCAAACAACTTGATGCTCAGGCCGTCGCAGATGATAGTCATCAGCGCCCTATCTGCTGCATCGAGCTGGGTGGATAGCGGTTTGGATGCTACTACTCAAGTCTTCCCGTCTTCTTATTCCTCTTCTTGCGCTTTTTCATCCTTATCGTCTCACTCCACCTTCACCTTTTCCCCCTTGTTTTCATTTCCCCCAGTGCTTAACCCTCCCCCGACTTACTTCAATAGTCGCTTGTCTTCTAGTCTCAACTCACACACAATCGCAGGGTGCGGCTGCAGTCCATGTTCAACCAAGGGGAAAACGTCAGTCCATCCGATTCTCTTTGTACTTCTCCATCCTCGCTAAGACTGGCATGCCTCAACGTGTGCAATTTGCTGCGAATTAGCCAACAGGCAGCACTTGCCCTAACACACGAGACCCTATCGATCGGTATTTGCTGTTTATCGGAAACCCGTCTGCAAGATCCCAGCTTACCCTGCGATCCCCCACATGCGGCCTTGGTGGTACGTCTTCATTGCGCTTGACCGGAGATGACGCATTTTGGAATGCCAGTCAAGCTGGCTTGGGCATTAGTTTGATTCACTGGGCTGAAGCCGCCCTGGTCGATTCGATTTAAGTCAACAACCGGTTTTGCGTCGTTCCATGTTTCGAAGTCGCACGTAGACAACCGGTGCCTGTTTGTCATTTTGGCCTGTGCGCCCACAAACTGTAGCACTGATTCGATGAAAGATGATTTCTGTCACCAAATTAACTATTTCATTCCCTATAGAAAAAGTACGGATACTGTGGTACTTGTTGGTGATTTGAAGGCCCACCTCGGAAAATGCTTCTCTGATAAGCTTCACCTGGGCGGCCAACAAGCTGTAGGCTCCCGTAATGATAACGGTGAGTGGTTGCTACACCTGCGTGAAGGTGCTCGTCTATTTCTCTCGAGCGCTAACTTTTGACACAGTGCCCGCAGAAAAATGACTTGTCGCCCACCAGTCATAGTCGCAACTCGATCACACCGCGATCAGCTATCACTGGAGAAGCTACGTCCAAAATTGTAACTCCAGCACCAGCGTGAATTCTGATCGCGATGTTGTGTGTGCCGAACTTTGGGTGTGTTCCGGCGGACGTCCGCAAAGTCGCTGTGAGCACATAGATACCAACCAACTGGCAAAGTCAGATGTTCTGAATGCGTATCAAAGTACGCTGGCATCCGGGCTAAGCCCCCACTGAACACCGTTGGAGATCACTGGTCGCATATTCGCCAAACGTTACTATTAGCCGGCATGTCTCCATGTGGCAAGTTGGCGACCTGAACATTGGGTCTCTACACAGTCTCTGGAACTTCTGGATGCTCGCCTACATATTCTGGCTGGAAACGAATACAATGAGGCTCGCAAAAGTCTCAGTGCAAAATTCCGTGTTAGTTTGAAGCGAGACCGCGAAATCTGGTGGTCTCATCGTGCATCCGAAATGGAAACAGCCGCTGCCGTTTGTAACCATCATAACATATTCCGTCTGATACGTGATACGGGCAGCATGGGACCTGGTGTTAGCAAAAGAGATACCGTGTCCTCATGTAAGCAATCCAGGTTGAGGATACATGAAAGTTCCTTTTGGACTTTACAATGACGATGATGATGATGATGCGCAACACGTGGCCCAGTCATCATAGCATGCTGCATGATGTACTTGTACTGTGCGGTTCCCTCACTTCTGGTACATCGAACACGGGACGCCAAATACGCTCATTTCTAAACTGCGAACTCAGCGATGGTCGAAAGTAACTGCCTTTATGTCTGTTTATCTGATTAATCAGGTTCCGTATCCGTACAGTGGGGTTAGTATGATCTGCTGATGGCCCGTTACTGTTCGGTTCCCAGACACGTTTATACTACTAAACCTTGGCTCAGTAGTACCAGCCTTTGGTTCACCAAATGATGATGACTACCTTTAACCTGCTGTAAGCCCAACTTGCGACGTCCAAGATATGAATAGGTTTCTAAGACATCGATCCATTTTGGTGGGAGCACAGGTTTCATTTGATACTCAATTTCACTGTGTGCGTCACCCCATGAAACCATGACTGGTGGCTGGCAGCGACTCCCAAGCGGGGGAGGGCCAATGCTGGTGGGCCAACCGAGTGCTGTTTCAGCTCATCCGGAGTACGGGTTCAAGACATATTGGTTGGTACATCCTCATTGGCGTCACCTGGTCCATTTGGCGGAATATTTTGAAGAGCAGTTCAGCAGACCTGAACGCGCATGGGAACTCCATGTCACTTTGGAAGAAATTTTACCTGGGTTTGCCGTGTTAAAATGAACCATGCCTCCTGAATCAAACGATCTCCCTCCATCTTTTCTGAAAGAAGAAAGTGCTTCAGTGATGACAATTTAAAAATTTATGTTTTCTCGTTATGTTCAGGTCACAATGTAAAGTACTTTATCTTGTTGCTTCAATATGGATGATGTGATTACAGAGTTGGGAACAATCCGATGTTATCTCTTCATCTCATTAGATGCAATTTCCAAAGATTTGGCCATGATTAGTGGGCCCCTTGTAACATATTAATGCGGCTTTCTCTAGCATTGTTATCGCGTTTTACTGTATTCTTCCACTCATGATGTTCCTGTTTCTGTTGCGCAGTCAAACCTCGTATGTTGCTTATGACACTCTCGTGTACATGCAGCGAGAGAGAGAGAGTGAGAGAGAGAGAGACGGATAAAATGGGAATCTACAAAACCAGAGTTAGAAGCAGTAGCATCGATCAGCCTCACCTTTTAACGCGTTTTTAGACCTTAGAACTTGTAGAATGACTTGGCGATGTGGAAGGTGATTAAACGGTGGCAATGCGGATTTGATGGCGAGCTGGGTTGGCTGTCTTCTTTTAACACACCGCATGAGAAAGAACCAGAAGATGGAGGCGGAGAATGTAGGGTTGTGGTAGACTGGCTTCGCTCATTTAGCACACACTTGTTGTTGTGAAAATGATCGCTGGATCCCACGAATCCTGGACTTTACACTTATGATTGGCTTTCTTTTTCAACATCTCAATAGTTTGATCACGTTTGGCGCAGTTACAGGGTCGCTGGCTCTCATACGAACATTGTGCCTACTTACAGTCACATATTCTGGATGTTAATTTCTTCCGGCCAGTGGCCGAGTGGTCTGCGCGCCTGGTTTGCAACCATAAGATCACCGGTTCGTATTCGCGTAGGGGAGGGCGTCCTCGCAGAATTCTCATCCTACGCGCGACTAGTGGTGGTCGCGTTGCAGCGGAGCGCCGTTGCGGCGTATTATTGACACATTATTCTATTTTCCGGATTATTGCAAATCTCTTGCGGAAGAAATGCTCGTATCTGGTGATCTTTGATCTGCATTCTACCACCGAGTTCTTATTTCATCTTTTACATAGCTGAATACATGACACTGCGTAACGCGATTTTTGTTCCTTGTTTCATGTTTCAACCACCAGTGTATCTGTTTTCGTCATAGACTTTGATTTTTTGACTATATTCTACAAACTTTACCGTTTACAGGGCCAAACCATGCAAATGTTTACTTCGAATTTTCATTCCAATTGTAGTATAAAAATATTGCGTGTATTATCATGGAAATAAACAGGTATATGCAGAATAAGGGAAACTTATTCAGAGGGGAGTAAATTTTCTGGATTAGCTTAGCAAAAGCTCGAGGTGCTTTTGCCGGTCCCCTCTATCCGTGGCGCCGGCGGGATATCCCTCTCGCCCTGAAGGATAGCCGTTCATTCAGGCATACTGTATGCTTGCGAAACTTGGTCCATCAAGTCGATAGACATAAAGTGGCTACTCGCGTTCAATCAGCGCTTCCTTCGCAGTCTAGCTCATGTCTGGTGCGATCACTGCGGGAGCAATGAGCGTGTTCGGCGTCGCGTATTTGGTGCAGAGCGAGCGAGTGAACCGCTCAGCAGCAGGCTCCGATGGTTGGTTCACGTGTTGCGCATACCAGTCCGCCGACTCCCTCGACGTGCATTATTTGCGCGTCGGAGCTGCGGATGGAAAAAGAGGAGGGAAGGCTCGGCGATGACTTAATCGAGGAATGAGATCCTTCACTTCGAAGTTGGCGTCGTTTGGTGCATCTCGACTGCCGGAGTGGGGACCGAAGGATGGTGAACACGTTTGGTTGGATTCACTAGCTGATATGGCGAAGAGCCGACATCAGTTTCGTTTGTGTTATGTCTCACTTTGTACTCCCATCCCGCTTATTTTCCCCTCCAATCACGATCTCTCTCTTGACGCATACTATGTTATTAGATAGTCTGTTGCCTGTATTTCTTGCATTCTACAATTTTCAACATCTAGCTTCTTTGTGTGTTACGGCAAAATAATTGAAGTGTGTTTCTCACCTTCAGCTAATGTGTAATAATGATATAGTCTAAATCGATTTCTCGAACAACGCCCCAGGTATAACAGCCTATCACGTTTCCGATGTCTTACTGTCTTTGATAACCAAGATTAAAATCCAGCATATCTTGGTGAAAACGCTCGCCTTGCCCCTCTGAGTAAGCTCCCATGTTCTTTCTGTTTTCTTTGATAAGTGCATCAAGAATATTAACTTTGACCGACATTCTGCATCACATACTGGCATATTTCTCTTTGATAGTCTTACTTAACTGCTCATACTTTTCAGCCATGGGAGTGCCCAAAAAGTCATGAACCATGACAACGAAACTGTTCCTAGCGGTGTTTTCTGTTCCTTTCAGCTTTTCTACGGTTGCAGCAGATTATGTGGCCCAACGATGGCACCAGTTTTGATCTTTACTTCTGATAGGTATGGAAAAATCACTTGAAGTTATTCGGAGGCTACAGACTCCTTGTCTAGAGCTCCGAGAAATTGTTTGCTGTGGCCTAACCTGGTGTCATCAGAACGTTCTGATGATCTACCAGCGGCTCCCACTTGACATTGTTCTTCCTCATCGAGAATCTCCTTCGCTGTGGCAAATCCCTCCGGTGATGGTGTGCCATAATGTCACAGCTGTCCCAGTGGCAAAGAAAACGAGTGAACTTTGTGAAACCACTTTGGAGTCTTATAAGGAATGACATTATTTTGTAGTATCCAATAACCTCTAAGCCATAATGTTTTTACTTCAATGAACCCAACAACATTATAACACAGTTGGGATTCCCTTTGAGATGTACAGAATATGCACATACGGAGACAGGTGTTCGTTTCCATTATGAAGCAACACAGCTTTGTGACTCCTGAACGAACTATCTATAAACAGGAGCCAGTCACTTGGGTTGTAGATGGTTCCTATAGACTTGAATAGACCAGCAATATTGTTACCGGTGCACAGCTCATCTCATTTGGTTAAGAAGTTCGGGAACTGTTCAGCTCGGAGAGCAGAATAAAATCTGAACAGATCACCCGAGCTACAGATATTCCGATTTATTGCTGAAAGTTGGAAAAACTTTGGTGACTACTTCTAGGAGCCGTGACTTGCACAATTTCATCCAACAAGCTTAGCAGTGGGCTTGGTAGCACCAACGTCTCTAATCATATCTTGATGGTCCTTTTGATTGGGGAAGTCTGGTTTCCTATCCTCAGCTGCATTTGTGAGATTGCAACCTGAGTCTGCAGCAGTATCTTGCTCGCCATCTGAGTTTGTACTCTGTCTCCGGGAGATAGCTGCTGTTCCCTCTCTGGTGGTGGAGTAGGGATAAGGAGATCGGACAGTTTGGCACAGTGCTGATGGATGAAGGCGTATCTGGAAAAATGATCGGAGGAGCACTTTTGCCAGTTTTCTGCGTTTAGAAGAGTTTACCATGCAAAAGTAACAACCTCTCAACTGAACTGTTGGTTCTCTCTAAATTCTGGGGACAGTAAATTTCATGATTCCTTTACTTTTCTGTGCAAGCCTGTAAGTACCATAGAAACTACATTAAAAAGTATGGTGCAAAGTGTTAACATATAGCATCCCACAGATATTACCATCTGTATTCGTCCTGTTCCTTAAAACTTTTATATAGTCGCCAACCTGCAATTCCTAGACTGCATTAAATAATATATTGTACTAAATAACACGCTGCCAACTATACAGGCAGCAGTCGTTCACCTTACTTATAATGTTGGTTTTTGAAATGCGGGGCACATGACTTGTCGTGATCACCGACAGAAGTCCCAAAGAATGCTTTATCGTCCTCGCACATTTTTACACATGTTTCCACAGAGTAAGCTTTTACCTTAGTCTTAATAGAATGTCCACAGTCGTAACAGAATGTATCTGCTGGACGTCTACAACCTCTGGATGCCATTTGAAATGAATGCTCTCTTACTTGACAATAATGTAGACTTAATTGCTCCTTTTAAGGTAGCTCCTTTATACGTTTGTGGTTGTTACTAGACTGTTCCTGAAGCATCTAGAAGATTTTAGAACATTTCATACACTGCTAGGAAGTTCTGGACAATTCCATGAACCCCCGGTAAATTCTTACATCACAATTTTTCATTAAGCAGTGGATGTGAGGGAAGAGTGAAGGTTTCCTAGAACATATAAGTGTTAAATGTTTCATTCTCTTGACCACCATAGCAGTGTTGTTGCAAGACACGCTATTTCAAGAGTACTAAAAATGGGATAGCACACTTTGAATCCAGGAACAGAGGAAGATGACATTTGTCACATAATCTTATTGGTATATCAAGTTTGGAAGAATTCCTTTTTGCATGATGTTAAAGAAAATAAGTTGTGTTTTATACGTCTTAACTAGACGAGATCAATCCTGGGATTTTCACATCGTTCACAAGTGTATAATCTTGATGGGACACATTTAAGGTCTTTGGTAAAGTCTCTTTGCACTTACTCTGCTGTGTTGCTGTACACCATTGAGCAGTGTTCCATTAGGGAGGAGGGGGGCAGAAATTGATGCACAGGTGTAAAGCATGCATTCATTAAAAGCAGATATTCCTACTATCACTCCGATTCTCTTTTGTCTTTGCATTGAGATAGTCTGTCTACTCAGAGAAGTTAGATGAGCGCATGTATCGCAGCTCCAAATCCCGTATGATGCGACATATTAATTCGCCTATCGCCAAGAGTCAGACTGCTTAATGTTATGTCGCATCCGCAAGATGCTGCGAAACATGAGATTTTCCACTATGGACAACAGGTTTTAAACGCATGCAGTTCGAGCCGGACCACTTATGGTGCTTTTCCTTGACCTTGACTATGTTGTCCAGGTCTATCCATAAAGGACGTGCCAGCGGAACTCATGAAATCACTACAATGACTTGAGGTTAACTAAGGGTCTGCATAATGCTGTCCTTTGAGTCCCCCGCAACTAGTGGTGTTCTCAAGTGTTGCCATATATCTCTTTTCTTCTTTAGCTTTGTGATCGAAATGCTCATGAATGACTGTCCTTTCAGCCTCTCCTGGAGTCCAAGTTCTGGCACTATGCGTTTTCGGGTCAAACACAGTGCCTAGGCAAACACCACTGAATTGTCTGACGTTAGCGCTGCACTCCTCCTCATGAATTTTCCACCCACAAGATGAAAGATCCTGTTAGAAGTTGTGATCGATACGCCACAGGTTCTAATCATTACCGAAAAGCCACTGAAACTGGTAAATGCGTTCACCATTTTTTCTCACATCGCTAAAGAGGTTATTTCGCCTATCAGCATAGCTCGTGTAATTATTTCGAGTCCGAACTATCCGTGGAAACGATTAAATGTCATCCTGTCAGCGAAAGTTAGAGCGTGCAACGCTGCGTTAACACCAGTGACGCTGCATGGATCAGAGACTTAGCCACTTCACGCTGAGGCCACTAAGATATTCTTCGCCTTTGATCAGAGGTGCATGTAGACTATTGCTGTCGGGTGGCAGCCGGCAGTCTCGAGGTATCGTGTCCATCGTCACTATCACAATATCCTACGAGGACCGAAGCGTAGATTCCTCATTTGTCTCAGTAGGTCTCAACATTTCGATCCCCTCATTTGTTTCATCTTAGTTTGATTTCTCGTCGGATGGGCTGGCAACTATAGGTGTGGTTCAGGCCACGTGATTGCCAGCTGCTGTTTTTGCATCTGGACCACGATGATTCAAAGGCAGCACCTGTTGCAGTGAATCAGCAGGATCCGTTGTCTCTTTCTCATGAACAATCACCGTATTCGTGGTTCCAAAAATGTTGTCGATCTGGAATGTTGATAAGTACACCAAATGTTATCTGACTGCTTGCATGCTTTTTGGGCCATTAAAAACCGACTTTGGTATCATCACGGTGATTCGCATACCAAAACCTAATACCTGTCACCATCGCACTCATTCCAAGCTGATGACGATGACTTATGTGCATACTTCTTATGGTAGTCTACACCATTACAAAGTCTAAGTCGCGTGAGTTACACTTTCGCGGGCGCTATAACACATTTTGCTGATTCCGACACAATTCAATCATACAGTGAAGTTGAAGCTGCACGTGCGAATCCACCGTCATTACAAATTTTATTTTATATCTATTAGTTGGTGTTTCTTTTTCTCTTAAGGCTAACTTTGTTCAATTTCATGTTGAATTCGACTTTCTCATTGGCTGTACTCTTTCGTTGGCCATGCACTAAGTGTCTCATCCAATTGTTCGAACTCCGCCCCCTTCCTTTTGCCTAGTTTCCTTTGCGAACGGCACCTCATACTTCTGTCGGAACCCTTGGTGTCAATGACTTCAGTATCGATAGCATAACCGACGAACCGATGAAGTCTACTTGTAAGTCACTGGGTGAGATCTCCATTTCTTTTGTTCCGTATCTGAATCTTTTGAGTTGAATCTCATGTTTGGATTTTCTAGCGCGTATCTTTTGTAGCTACGACGTTGGGGGCTTAACTCAGCTCCATCTTTTAGTTTGCCCACGGTTTTTGTCCTCTGCTTACGTTACACCTGTGTCTTACGAAAAAACGGGCAGGCTCATTGAACAATAGCCGGCTTGCTGGTATGCATAACGCAACATCCGAGCCAGCCACTTCAACGGGTGAGGTGCCGAAGGGTCTGTTGTGAAACACCAGGCGATGAGCTCCCACCACATATGTGAGGAATACTTTGGGTACATGTGTGGTCGAACAAAGTCATTCACTCAATGTCATGCCATTGTTGTCAATCGAAATGACCTCTTCACTCTGTACCTATGATACCTTTCGCCGAGTGAAGCCATATGGTTGGCTGTTTTGAGTGATTTGAAAGCTGTTGATTTGGACTTGTGCTGGAAGTAAGTATTGTTGCGTGTATTGTAAGCGACAAACCACTTGGAAGAAAACAATCGCGAAGAGGTTTATTCTCGCTTAATCTCGTCAGGCGCATACAATTATTAAGCAGACAACCAAAAACTTACAAAGAGCTATTACTGGCTATGTACAAATAAAAGGATCTGAGATGATAGGTGGAACAGTAAAATTGTGATAGAATGATATACATTAATCAATATCAGATTCAAAAAAGTCACGATGAACCAGTGGTCTTGAAGCCAGTTGACTGCATGTGGGCCAGGACAGAATTAGCGCTTGCACGAGAGCCTTGTGCTTGCATAATTCCAGCTGTAGGCGTCTGATAGCAAGAGCTTCAGCTATAGTCAAGAAGCGCCTTTTGAGTCCCTTTGAGTATTGTTTCGGGGCAACTAGGTGAACCTTGAATGATTCCGTTAACACGGCATTGATGCCCAGTGTTAAGCAAGTGCTCACAGCTTGAACTATGGACGCTCTTATGGATTCCATGTTGTAAGGAAGCAGAGCAGTGCACTGATATGCGTTTTGATAGACGTCGACTGGTGTGTCCGATGTACCTCACATCACAAGTGCAGGCGAATTGATATAGTACGAGAAATTCAGACTCAACCGGTAGTCTTTCTTTGAGATGTTGTGTGGTGGGAGATGTTTCGGCAAGTACTTGAATTCGTGTAGTCGGATACATCTAGTAAGCAACTCGAAGAGGATATCCCTTTTGAAGGGAACAAAGAGAAAGACGTCTTTCTTTCTGGCTGTGAGCACAACTTCAGGGACGTCACGGACTACGGAGTGCTTCTTTACAAACGCAGGAGGGCAATCGTTGCTCTGTAGTCCTAGGAATGAAGTGTTTCTTCTTCTAGCGTCTCTGGGTTACAATCTCTTGTTGCCCGATAGTATAGCAACGTACAAGATTTCTTTGACATTTCATTAGCACGAAGCCGAGAAAATGGGTATATTGGCGAACCCAAGTTGTTTTTCTGGATACGCTTATTTCAAGCCACCCGTCGCTACGCCATGGTAACAGAACGTCTAGAAAAGCCAGTGCACCGTCGTTCTCAATCTCGCAAGTGAACTTCAAAGACGAGTGCGTACGGTTAAACTGGTCCGATAGGTGCAAAGGATCGACCGTGCAGCCACAAACGATAAACGTATCGTTCAATCTGGGCATCAGTGTCGTGTTAACGGAATCATACAAGGTTCACCTAGTTGCCCCGAAGCAATACTCAAAGGGACTCAAAAGGCGCTTCTTGACTATAGCTGAAGCTCTTGCTATCAGACGCCTACAGCTGGAATTATGCAAGCACAAGGCTCTCGTGCAAGCGCTAATTCTGTCCTGGCCCTCATGCAGTCAACCGGCTTCAAGGCCACCGGTCCATCGTGACTTTTTTGAATCTGATATTGATTAATGTATATCATTCTATCACAATTTTACTGTTCCACCTATCATCTCAGATCCTTCCATTTGTACATAGCTAGTAATAGCTCTTTGTAACTTTTTGGTTGTCTGCTTCATAATTGCACACGCCTGACGAGCTTTTTCCAAAAGAAATTCTTTCGCAACTGTTCTCTTATTGTCGCAATGTGCAGTATTAATGAAACCATTTGGAAGCCTTGAGCTAACGCGTCATCCAGCGCCGACTTTGTTGTTCATTTGATTTCGATGGAAGCTTGTTACCTCAGGGCTTCCAAGCGGTTTGTCGCTTGTGACTCGTTTTCCCACAAATACCTTGACGGATGTCACCGGCTGGTATATTGGTCTCTATACGGTCTTCAAACTTCAGTAGTCACTCTTCACCTGCATTGGTCGCCCATTCTTGTACGATTGCTTTTGACCGTTCTAACACAGGAAAGTTCCCCTCAGTTTTATTGGTACATTGTTTTTGTTGGTCACGAAACGCACCCAAATATGCTGTTCCATCTATTGTTTAATCACTTAGGCGCTTTGTGCAAATTAACCACCATTGCTACTTGCGATGTTTGTGGGTGCAGGGTTCTGATCTGGTGATCACGTAGACATCATTTTCTTCGCATTATTGAGTAGGGGCGAACAACTGATAACGACTGTGTGTGAGGGTCTGCGCTTACCTTTTTTCTCTCATATTTTGGCTCATATTTTGGAAACTTCAATCAGTCATTTTTAGACCGCTTCTGTTTGAACGAATCGAATGATCGCTTTGTACGGTTCTTCATTCGCACAGACTAGCTGCATGCAGTTTTGATTTGATTACGGTGCTACCAATTCTAATGTCAGAATGGACGATAACGGAGACAATCATGCAACGTGCACGATGCACGCGATCTCTACGACTGATTTCTAGCTGTAGCGGTTAGTCCAACCCATCGTTACTTATAGCAGTAGTCTCCCCGTTAGGTAAGCAACGAATCACGAATGAAAATGATTGTCAGTATGAGAGCATTGAACCTGTTGCAGAGTAACATTGCGCCATGAGCCTGCATGAGGGACACTCTGGTTCGAGTAGATGTGCGCAAAAATCCAGCTTCTAACTTCACAACATGGTCCACTGGGGGGCGTTCACTGTGAATGGTGACGTAGCAAATGTGCACACCTTAAGTCGTGCACTCAGCTAGATCTGTTTTATGGGGACATAGCACTACTGGTTTTTCGATTGAATGTGTTCATCACCCGAGCGTAACTCTTCTACAGCATTTGATAGTAGTAATCATTTTTCTCGAATTCGCGTTACCATTCTAAATTAAGACTGTTGTTCTACTCAATTAATCCTCTCTACACCCTTCTTTGGTTCAACCATCAGACGTGGAGCGACCCCCGAGTACCACCAGTCGAGACCCCGAAGCAGCCACCGCTGCATCTTCGGCTCTGCCAATGGTCACCCCTTCAACCGCCCTGCGAAGCACCACCCCCTGCTGCATCGGAAGCGGTGGTGAAACCGCGATGGAGTGGGAAAGCGCATTATACACCGCCAACTTCCATCCCTCCTGCTCCTCTACGGGCCCTCCATCTGATGAGCCTTCCGTTTGCGGTGTTGTACCGCGTGTGTCGGAGTTCAATGACAGCGTGCTGTCGTTCTGGTCCAGGCTGCCCACAGAAGACTGGACGGCTCAGTATGTTCTACTGTTTAGGCTTGTGCGTGGACCGTTGCTAATATCTTTTCCATTATACCGGCTGTTTTATCTCGGTGGTGCTGGAATCTCGAAGCCTTCGGTAGAGACGTGCTAATTCCTTCTACCGAATTAGAATCTAGCATTTCTGCTGAACGTTTATGTATTTGCCATCATTGTTATTTTATTGGTTCACACTTCACAGACTACTCTTATCTTATCCACGATTTTTGATGTGACCTCACTAAATAGTCGAACCTAAGGTACAGTTTCATGCTATTCTCGAGTGTCTCCTGCTTCATTAGTCCGCCTGGACTTAACCGGATCATATTTGCACTGCCAACATATACAGTCATTAACAACCACAGCTCGTTTCATTTTCACGCATCTTATCATCAGATACAAGTGGAATGTCGCAGATACAGGAGTGGAATGACCGATCACCTCAAACTGGTGATGAAATTACCCGCGGTTCTGCGATGGTTGTTTTCCCCTTTAAGATGTAGTGCATATGCTGAAAGCAGTGACACTCTTCAACCCTTCATCCACCATCGACTGCATAGACGCTGACGCTGACCGTATCCTGACTGCTGAGACTGAAGTGCGCAAGCTTGGCAATCGCCATACAGATAAGGCATCAGCAGTGCGCCGGCACACCTCGCTGCCACGCGACCACCGCCGGTCGCGCGTGGGCTTATCGGGACTTGTCAATAGCTCGCCTCTTTTAACTGCATCAGGACCCAAACCCATTAGCACTAGCGGTTTGCATCACTTACCACGATGGAGTAAAACGGCCGTCTAGTGTTTTTTCCAGCGTCCGGAAAGCCATCTGAGTTGAAAGCTACAACGAAGGAGCGGCGGTTTATTGTACTGCTTTCCATCAGCTTAAGCACTGACTATCTATCTCATCATTGTCTAGTTCCATAACGAATTTGACCAACAGAACTATTCCTCACTTGACTGGCCTAACATCTCGCTGTACGCTATTCTGTTCGAATTCCGTGACTTCGAGGACATTGGGAGAACTCCGGGTGCTCGAGCACCTGCGTCGTCTTTAATTAGAGCGCACTTATTACACACTCAGTCCACTACTCGCCAACTCCCATCATCCTTCTAGACATAGTCTCCCTGTTTGGTTTGTTCGAAAAACGCTACATTACACTTACTGCAGTTGTTTCGGGACGGAGGGCTCAACGATTCGGCTGCACATTTCCCGTACGAGCGTAAAGCACCTTCGCATTTGCGTTGCCCGCACAAACTGTTGCATGCTAACTTCACGCCAGCTGCACAGTTGTACTCAAGTCTTCCACTATTCGACGCATCTGACAATGAAACGGAGTGCACTTCCTCACCAGAGACGCCTGTTTGCCATTCCATCGTGAAGGCTATCGCGCAGCCTATCTAAATACGAAAGTCAGCCTGCGCTTCTGTTGTGAAACTGTTTGCATGACCATTATGCACACTATTTGTAGGGTATGGCAGATGACATTAAAGCTGCTCCTCAGCACATCACTTTCTGCTTTAATTGTCCGGCCTTTCTGAATTGGGTTATACAAATTCCAGGGACTGGAAATTCTTCTGATCATAACTGCACCCAAACGGCACACCGACCGCTGACGTTATGTGAATTTGAGGTGTATCCAGAAAGCATAGAGATCTTTATAAGGTAGTTTCATTCTTGGTTGTTAGATCTTCGGATACCTACTTTCCTTCTTCTTTTAGAAACTATCCGTTTTCAAACAAGATCTTTAAGGTTGCCTAACGATTTTATACTCAAACGGTTCCGTACAACTGACTCCCCTGTCCAACAATGTGCTTTGGCCTCATCATCACTCAGTGTTCCTCACTGAATGTATGAGCGTATTGTCCCTTCTCCTGATTTTCGGTCGTGCATAGTTTACATGTGTTCACTTACTCATCACTACGGTTATATGCAATATGTTCTTCTACTCGCCCGTTGACTACTCCCTTTCCAGACACGAGACATCCGCGCACACATCCACTGACTTCAACATTTTACCAACCGCTTTAGCCTTTGATCCGGAAATGTTGGGCCACGCCTGTTTGTGTCCTGGTGCCCTAGACGTGTCCATCCACCCGGAGAGTCCCGAACGCGTGCGGCTTATACTCGAGCGTCTTATGGATTCATTCCTACAAATTCCTCCCAGCCTCTCACTCGGACCCACGGATCTTTTACGAGTGCTGCAAGCGGCAGTGGCTATCGAAAGCCCTTCGTTGCAACAAGAATTGAATAAGCTCACTAACTTGGACCCTGTAGTGCTAAATTTGCTTCTCTCCCGAATTCCACTCATAGGGTTTTGTCGTCTCTTACGGGCCCGGATGGTCACAGATGTGAGTTCTACTTAAACTGCTCTGCATCCTATCCTTGTGTAATCACTTAAATGGTACATCTCAGTAGCCCCTGTTGTGATATGGAAATTAACCGGCCTCTTTGTGCTCTTCTTAGCAACGCATTGCTCGCACGAATTATCTGCCTACATCAGTTGTAAGCTATTTTCTATGCCTTTGTCCTCAGCCAGTAGCCACATCCGACTGTCATGCAATCCGGCCTGAACGAAACAACTGTACTAACTTTTGTTCGAGCATTCTTCTTTACGAAATCAGCATGTTATAATTTTATGCCGTTATTTCGGTTTGTGATTGATCCTTCGTTTCCTATGCAACTGCTTCGTGGCTGGATACACTTGCTGACATGGCTAGGAGCCGACCTCAGTGGCGTTCGTGTTGTGAGTTTCTTTGTCCCACCCCATCCCTCTTAGCCTCCCCCTCCAACCACGGTCTCATTATTATTTAGCATTTTATAATTTTACATAGGAAATTATTTTTTTCTGCTGCATAGTAGCCGGCAGATAGCTTACCGGAACGATGCCCATCCGTTACCGATAGCTCAGCTGGCTTGCACCTGTTGCATTTTCCCCCTTTTTTCTTTTAGGTGTTGCGGCACAATAGCTGGGATTTTTCCAGTCTCTTTCTAACGTGTATGGTGTGTATGTGTGTGTGTGTGTGGGTGGGCCATCACCGCTTCAGCTCATTTTTGTGTAAAATTAGAGCCATTCGGCCCATTTAACTCTTTGGAGTATAACACTTTTTGGCCGTCAGTGAGCGCTTCACCTTAGGTGCCTACAGTGACTAACTTAGAAGCTTCACTATGGACTAAGTCATGGCCAACGAAAGTAAACTAAGTTAAACAACAATAATAATACCGGTAACCTGATCTCTTTGAAATGTTTGATTACGGTCAACAGGTGCAGTGTGTGATGCGTCATAAAATACATGACGGCGATGTAACTAACGACAGATGCAGGTGCTATAAATAACAGATTATATCTACTTCTGACATGTGTTTAACTCAGGGAAGAAAGGTTGGATGTGATCTTATTTTTGTCACATCAATTGGATTAATAGATACTCCGAATATGATGCGATGTGATCGTTTGAAAATGTAGGACTGCGGCGCTTTCTTCAATTTTAGTCATCATCGTCATCAATACACACGTTAGCTGCAGGTGGAAAACACCTCAGCTATTGTGCCGAAATACAGAAGACAAGAAAAGGAAAACAAACAGTGGCACGCTGACTGAGTCCCCAGTAACGGATGGACATAGTTTAGGAGAGCTAACAGCTGGCTATCGTGCCGTAAAAAGTCATATTATGCCTAACGAGTGAGATCGTGATTGGAGAGGGATGCTAAGCAGGAGGGGGATGGACAAAGGAACTCACAACACAAACGCCATTGAGGCCGGCTCCAAGCCATATCAGCAAGTGTGTCCAGCCAAACGTGTTCACCGTCCTTAGGACCCCAGCCAGGCAGTCGGGATGCACCAACCGACGCCAACTTTGAAGTGAGGGTTTTCAGCTCTCTCGACCAAGTCATCGCTTGGCCTACCCTCCTCCTCTTCCAACCGCACCCACAACGCGCAAACAATGCACGTCGCGGGAGTCGATGTGCTGGCATGCGCAACACGTGGCCCAACCATCGGAGCTTGGTGGGTGATATAATGGTGCTGAACGGTTCACTCGCTCTTCCTGCACCAAATACGCGACGCCGAACACGCTCATTGCTCACGCGGTGCTCCCACCAGACATGAGCTAAGCTGCGAAGGCAGCGATGATCGAATATGACGAGCCTCTTTATGTTTGTCGACCTGATGGACCAGGTTTCACAACCATATTGGAGAGTTGAACGGACGGCTGCGTTGCAAACTCTGCCCTTGAGAGCGAGAGTAATGTCGAGTCTGCGCCACAGGTGGCGGAGATTGGCAAAAGCACCTCGAGCTTTTGCTATACGGTTCGTAACCTCATCTTCAATCCCACGGGTGCTAATATAACTGCCCAGTTACTTGAATTCCTAAACGACTTCTAGCAGATCACCACCAAGCGTTAGCGCAGGGTTGGGTCCCTGCCAATCTCGGAGAAGTACTTTGCATTTCGATGGAGCAAAGCATAGCCCCAAACGATTGACAGCCAGTGCTAATCGGTCCAGTGCTGTTTGGCATGTTTGGGGGCTGTCACAGATTAGGGCAATATCGTCCGCATACTGCAAGTCAAGAAGTCCTTCACCAGGAAGTAGCTCCACACCTTCTAGGTCGTGTCCAGCGAACGCTGTTTCCATGACTTCATCAATAGCGAAGTTGAAGAGGAAAGGTGACAGCGGGCATCCTTGTCTCACCGCTGGTGATACTGAAAGGTGGCGACAGTTTGCCATAGACCCTCACCCTGCCCGAACTATGCGCGTACAGCGCTTTGATAATGTTTCATATTTATCAGGCACACCTTTCCTCAGCAGACAGTCCCAAAGGGCACGTCGATCGACTGTCGACGGTACCTTTTATGTCAAGAAACACGACAACGGTGGGTTGCCAATAAACATGGCGGTGCCCTAACAACTGACGCAAGGTGAAGATGTGGTCGATGTACCCTCGACCTCGACGAAATCCGGCTTGCTCTTCACGAATCTGGCTTTCACGAGTGTCAGTCAGTCTGTGGAGAATGACAGAGGCAAGCAATTTCGTGGCAGTCGAAATCAGACTGATCCCTCTATGATTGCCACATTCCAAACGGGAGTTTCCCTTGTAAATTGGGACAATGACAGAGCGGTTCCAGTCTGTCGGGAGTGTCTCCTGCTCCCAAAGTTTCACTAGCAACTCGTGTAAATCACCTGGCACTGGACTACAGAGCCCGTTTTAAGGAATAAGGTGCCACCCCCTTCCAACCCCCAACCTGGAGGACCAGGAGGCTGAGTTTGTCTGGCCTCTAACCATTGACCAATCTGGTATGAGTGGCTCTGAAGGTGCAAAAGGCACCACCCAGCATAGCTCAATGGATCTCTGAGGCACGCAAACCATCGCACCACAGTAAGGTCCAGCATCATTGCGATGGCTTTGATTTCAATTTTAGTGAGATGTGCAGGTGCAGGATGGAATTATACGGGGAAACAAATGATAGATGGGGGCAGAACATAGATGCTTAGGTATTATTGCGTCCGCATTCATGCACATATGTTTCCGCGCGATGGAAGCAAAAACAATCCCGTGAAGTATTTTACAGTTTAATAGTTGTTTGGTCCCTTTTTAAATGCACAAACTGTGGCTGTACTTCTAGATGGCTTGGGACAATTTATTCTATAGCGGTGGATATACAAGCCTAAAGGAGTTGCATCGGAGTCACGTGTGTGATGGCGAAGTACTTTTATTACATCCTCTTTGTTTCTCAGACTATGTGGTGCAAGTTTATGGAGTTTCGGTTCGTAAAAATTTCTATGGGTTTGGCAATGAAATATTTCTGGAACTAGACCTCATTCATTCATTATACACGTTAGCTGTAGGTGGAAAACACAGCTGTTGTGCCGCAATGCAAACGAAAAAAGTGAAACAGAGGCAGAGGCACGCCGGCTGAGTCACCAGTAACGGATGGATATCGTTCCGAAGAGCTAACAGCCGGCTGTTGTGTCGCAAAAAGCGAGTTATATTATACATAATAAATGAGATCGTGGTTGGAGGGGGGAAAGGCGGGAACTATATCTAGCCAAACGTGTTCATCGTCTTTCGGTCCCCAACGAGGGAACCGAGAGGCTCCAACCGAGGCCAACCGCGAAGTAAGGGCCTTCATTCCTCGTGACCCAGTCATCGCTTGGCCTCCCCTCCTCCTCTTCCAACCGCACCCACAACGCGCAAACAATGCATGTCGCGGAAGTCGGTGTGCTGGCATACGCAACACGTGGCCCAGCCATCGGAACCTGGTACGTGAAATAACGGTGCTGAGCGGTTCGCTTCTTCTTGCTGTGCCACACACGAGGCATCGAACATGCTCACACGGTGTTCCTACCAGATATGAGCTAAACTGCGAAGGCATCGGTGGAATTTTTCCTCAAACAATTGAAGTAGACGTACTTAATTTTAATCCGCGAAGCTACATTAGCTCGAGATTTAGCAGGTTGCATCTATCTTTGTGTAACAGGACATATGTGCAACTCACGAATCTTTTTGTAAAGGATCTCCGAGTTGCTTCGATTTCCAGTTTATCACATTTTTTATGCTGCTGAAAGTGATTGTACAGTATTTTAGAATAGGTCGGGCATAAATTGAGAAAGCTCAGAGCTTAACAGGCGATTGTTTCTCCAACCCATTCTTCACCTTCTTGACTATTCTTTCTACAAAGAGCCGGATATCGCTGTCTAGATGGAATTGTTATAAGTAAATAAATAAGTGGTTTTATTCTCGATGAAACGAGACACACCAGTACAACCATGATCAAGTGGTTGACAGAGTCACAGAAACACTAGATGTATATGTCCATCAACGGTGTTGGCAAAAAACATGGCTCGAGAAATTATTCTTATTTTTCGCATAGATATGTTGCAAAAATGATGGGTATGTTCATTGGTGCCAGAGAGCAATGTGGCGCCGATGCACGGCAAAATCTATGAGTATTACTGTTACAAAAAGTCTGGGTGGAGGGTTCCAATTTTTTCGGAGATTGCGCTCCATTTTTCCATGGACATAGGAACCCGAAAAAATACTTGTTAAACATACTTGCACGAAGGGTTGAGGCTTCTGGATTATATACAGTGGCAAGAATTCATTTGTTTTATGTGCCGTTGTGCTCACAGATTTCGGATATTGGGATCATTGCTAGTACGAAGCAATGGGCAGTGATATTATTTTGGTGGTGAGTCACATCGGGCACGTCGCAGTGTTGTTAAACAGACATTTGTGGCTTTTTATACGGAGAACGCTTGTTAGGTGAGAACCCACCACGTTCTGGAACTCTACCGTCGATCACAAATTGAACAGTAATGTGCCGCTGGCAACGCTTCTTTAAGACCGATTATTCGCACTCTTAATCGCAGTCATATTACACCCAATTTTTCCCTTGGATGATCGAAAAGCTTAATCGGGTTGCGCCAATAACAATTGAAGCCGGTGGTACTGGACGAACATGAGATAGGGGTTGCACAGGTGAGCAAGAATCTCGAATTATTGGAGGTATCAGTGTCCTAGCTTATAATCCACTGGCCAAGTGGTTGTCGCAGGCGATTCCACGAGGAATAACCATTTCAATTAAGTCGGAGGCTTGCAGGGATATGGAGTTTCTGGAGGTACTGTTTCATAGTTGAAAAGGATTTGAGCCCGATTGTTCAAACCAGTAGAAAACACCGATCAAGGTACTTGCTGTATTCTCCAGAATACAGGTATGACCGAACCGCAATATACAAATTACTAGTGGGTGGTATACTGAATATACTGGGACACGTTCGCCTATACGAATCGATTGTCTCTAGTGTGGTATGCATCACTGGAAACACATCGACCCGCTTTACGTAGGCGTTGATCGTGAGATTGAAGCACCCTTCAAATGAGATGATCATGGTTGTCAGGGTGTTCACATTCTCATGGTTTATTCGGTCACCTCCAATAGTTGAGTGGCTCGGGTGGAGCGTTTCCTTATGGTCTCACAATGTCAGATTAATTTCTGGAGTGCCTACTGACACTCGTCGTCCGGTCTTAGGTTCGTGCATCAAACGAAGTATGTAACACTCGCGAATCCCATTTATCAGGCCATCCATGGAAGACTCAACGTTTGACCTCGTACCGGAGTACACCCTTCTCCGTATCTCGACGGGTATTTGCTTTTAATACTGGCATTCTACCAATATACTGTAGTCAGGGAACTTACTGCGTTGCTTTTAATTACACAAATTGGTATGTGAATCAGCGATACCTGAGTTAAGGCATCTGTGCTTTTGTCTAGTCTCCCAGAAATACGTGAGCCTTGTATTCTTAGGCCTAAAGTGGGAAGCCCAGCTCTGCATATGGAAGACGCCATCTAAATTATGTCTTTCCCCAATTAATCCGTTTTATTCATGCGTCCTCTATACAAGACCACTATATATAGAGAGCTTTTATCCGAAGCTATCCTAGTGAGAGACAGGCTCTATCTACACACACACTAGCACTATCTAACATTTTTTGTTTTCCTGGGATCCAAAACAACAAATATTTTACGCGGAAAACAAAATAGCGGTAACTTTTCAGGCTTATCGGGGTTTGCAGTTGGTTAAGATTGCAAACGTTCTTCCTTAAAGGCCCTACTGTGATTTCTCATCTCCGAATAACACAACTGCCGCTGTCCTTTCCACCGTTGCTAATCACAGTAGCAAAGCCATTTCGTAACCTTGAATTAGACCTGGCTCAATCTGTTTTCAAATAACTTGCTTTGAAACCATGATTGGATTCCGTTACTTTGCACTCACGTTTTCTTCCTCTATAGGATGAATTGTGCATTTTCCACTCTAGAAAATATGTTAACGTTCTTGATTACGCGACGCAAGCCTACGTGTCTAGCACGGCGGCGGTCCCTGCATGCACAAAACCACAAACGGCACTCTCTGGATGGGCGGCGGTACGTGACTCGTCTCAATATCTCTGCAAACTGGGCTGCGGAGGCCTGGGTGTGGACTCGGACACCGTGTGGAACCCTGTCACCACGGCGTACGCTGCCCGTCTCGCCGTTGGACAGGTATTGTGTCTCGCTCAGAAGTACGTCATTTTCCAGTCTTTTCTTGAGCATCACACTTGTCCGTGATCAGCTTCTGTTGAAATCCACTACCGGAGGATATGATTTCTGTCATGATAACGCTCGTGCCTAAATAGAAATCCCAGAAATTCCGTCCTATTGTCTGTAGGCCTTTGGTGCTGAGGCTCTTAGAGCGTTCTACATGCACTCTAACTAATGGTGTGTCTCCGTTTGCTTATAAACCCCAGCTTCCCACGTTGGGTGCAGTAGCATCTCCTGCTCACTCAACTGCATCTGGATTGGACGCGAAATGCAGAGCTATACGACTCTTTTTCTTTGATTACTTTGGTATTGTTTACAGGTCATTTCTTCTCAATCTGTTGTCTGGGAATGGTGTTCAACCTGATGTACTACTATGCCACAAATCGCACTCACTTCATCTAGTTGAATGAAAAAGAGACCTCCACCGGCCATTATGACTGGGACATTTTAAAAGGAGCAATCCTTCCGTTTCGTTTTCTTTACACACCGAACGCCCTCTCATCTTCGCGAACTTTATTAATTGTAAACACACTGTCGATGTCGTATTAGTCAGCGTCGCTCTCACATGATGCTACAAAACGATGATCGTTATTCTGCTCATCTTTTCTCAACGCTTCGTGCTTTGACGCATACTTCTCATCCCTTGGTTGTGAGGGGCCACTTTGGTGTATTTTTCTTTTAATGTTTTCCATGATCAAACACACTGACGAATCTTTCCCCCTGACAAAATGGCTGCCATTGAATACTTCAAAATTCGGAATGCTTTCCAAAACCATGCTCTTCAATTCGAAATTTGAGATTTCCTGTATTATCTCCCATTGCTTGTATTGTTCACCCATCACCCTGGTGTTCTTTCGGAGGAATTTACGTTGCACGCGTGTTCCATTCAACTTATCCTCTGGTGCAGTTGACTACCCAGAAAGCCTCTCGTGGATTTCATTGTTACTAAGCATTATGCTGCATGCGACAGCTTTTCATTCAAAGTTTTAAATAATCCTTTACGGCAACTGCACGATGATTTATCAAAAACTCTTTTATTTTTAATGCACTGCGTTCTCTGTGTCAATCTGAACAAGATAATGTGAAGACTAGGACTGCAAGATCGTGTCATTAGGTACTATCTGATGACTGACAACATATATGGGTCACGTGAGGGAAGGAAACCATCGTTCCGAACTGGGTCAGAAAACATCGTACTGAGCTGTGGCAAAGGTCATGAGCCCTAAGGAAGCTTTGGGGCTACTGTCAGTTGCTTATCTACACAGAGTAGGACGTCGCCGATTAAGTATCATGGCCTCGGTAAACTTCAGCTCCCTGGCGTTTTCGTTCCGGCGAACAACCGTAAATCTTGAGTCAGGGTCAACTTGATGACCAGTGCCGATTAGGTGTTTAGCGATGGATAACGCCGGAAGTTTATCAGATGCTCGTTTTCCAGTTGCTTGTTGCGCCGCCATCTTAGCGGTCCTCTTCGAAATATGTTCTCACATCCGTTTACCTAGGCAACAAGCTGTCCTGCTAATGTAATTGCTTCCACAGCTACGACTAATTGGTAAATGCAATGTGTTATGGTGGACACCAGTTGAATAGACAGTTTTATGTTCGTCTAAGTATTGCGAATAGCTTTGTTCTCTCATCGTTCAAGTTGCGCCGTCACGACATTACCCTGAATGGGTAACTAGGTAGATAGGCATTTGGGGCACGTTAAGTACTCTTGGTTTGTTTTCCTTCGGGTGGTTGTGGAGTCTAATGAATGTTACCAGACATCCGTTGCACCTCAGCGTCTGTGTAATGACGGACAATCCCGATTCTATACAGTTGGCACTGCATATTCCACGAGCTCGATTAAACGGCGTCTTGACAAGGCAATGCACGGGCATGAAACGGTTGAAGTCCTCACACGGTCCAGTCCATATACTTTTCCTCTAAACAGAGCACATTATCTTGCCGTCTTCTTGTCTGTTCAACAATACATCCAGAAATGGCAATCGTTGTATTTCAGTTCACGGGTGGAACGAGTATTGGGATGTGCGTTGTTGAGCACACTGCGAAGAGACCGAGCGCTCTCTACACTTGGTGCAAGCACTAATGTGTCGTTCACATACCGCCTGTATAGGCACATGCTAGGGGACGCAGACCCTAACGCGATCGGTCAGATGCAGTTTCCAACTATTTGGCTCGAAGATGATCCGTTTGTCTCCTGGTCGTGACCTTGGTTCAACCAATGCCAGTTTTCCACATTTACAGCTTCAAGGTCATTGTGTGTGAGAACTTTATAAATCTATGAAATCGTCTCTTATGTACCGCTTTTGTCTTCTCGCAAGAGTGTGTTCCTTGTTGACGTCTTTCGACTTCTGTTTTTAGTCGAGCGGTTTGGCTTTTGAGGTCGGCACCTTCGCGATACCTAGAAAAGCCATAACAGCACATCTGGTTCACACCTCGACGGAGCTATTGCCATGAAGAGGTCACCCAATAGCGGGCCAAGCGGACCTCCCATGGTCACACCATGTCTCGATATGGCTGATCCTCGAATAAGAACTGCACATTTTTGGTACATAATAGCAGTAAATCCCTGAGAATTAGCAAAGATACTTTATTATTCGTGAAGAACTCGCACCGGCATTCCGCTGTTTTTCTTCGTGGAATGTTGTTGAATAAAGGTTAGACCTCCATAGAACACAACCTTATCTGCAATATTCATATTCTGCATACAGTCAAACAAATCAGTAGGTCCTTTCACGGTGTAGGTCGCTATTATTTGTCTAACTGCATATCTACCAGCCTAAGTGCCAACTTGTAGCACGGAGAGTTGCACATGGAGGGTATCATCCTTGATGGTTTGTTAACCGTACATTTGAGGGACGCACGTACCCATTTGGCTTAAGAACGTTGTACCATCCGGTGCTGCACCAACAATTTTATTCGGTTGGTCCCTCTCTTTCCAACTTGCGTTACTCTGGTCTCGCTTTTGTCCTCTTAAAATTTGGATTTTTCTTATAATGTGACTTATCCTTAACAGTAGCTTTTTGGAAACAGTTTCGAAATTTTTGCCGAATTGATAGGCCGCTAGGTGATTTCTGTCCAAGGATACTGAGAGTAGGTTGAATTCACTATCTGCATTCTCAAGAGATATGCGTTGTGCCTTGGCCCGCTCCGTCCTCGTTCTGTCAACGGTTTAGCAAAAGTTCGTTAACTTGATGCGGTAAGCTAAGAATACTTGGTCGATCGCCACGGCGTTGTTGTATCTCCTTCGGCTGAGAGAACCTTTTGCTAACCTCCTAGAAGATGACGAGTCGCTTTAGGTTCGTGTTGATACGTCTTAGTCGGTTCGGACGCAACAGCTTACAAAACTGTGGAAGATATTGAGCGTTACGTTTGCACTCATTTTCGTCTACGCGCCCAAAAGTTTTGCTCTTGTTTTCTCGCGCTGCACCCTTGTCATAAATCTATCTTACCGCATTTATCACGTTTTCTTGTGGACCCCACGAAAGTCATCAATACCACGCGCGAACGTTTACTAGAGTAACATACACCCGTTTCACTATTCACCCTTCGCGTTTTATTTCAGATAAATGCGCATTGCTGGTGTTATACACTGAAAATGTGCCCAATTAAGTGTTGCATAAAGCCGACTTTGGGTTGCCTTGAAGGTAGCGTGCAACTTCGCTCGCCCCATGGGCATACCTTATTACTTGATTTACGATGTGTCACTGGGAATGCACTATTGATTATGTAAATAAATAAATGAATGATATATTCTCGATAGAACGATCTCCCATGTTGTCTTTTGCTTGCTCCGGTCTCAAGCTTGTACTTTGCGCTCATACATTGCTCCGCTCGAGCAGTGCTTCCAATATATATATGTATATATATATATATATATATATATATATATATATATATATATATATATATGCCCCATGCTGAGGCTGATGTTGCATTCTTGATGCTTCTTCACCGCAGTTGGGCTAAACCAACTCACACTTAAACTAGGTCTTTTTAAGCTGGCTAAATTTCATTCCGCTTTATTTGGTTTGTTCTGCCTCCCTGAATAATGTTCTATTAACTGGCCACGTTGCTTACACTAATTGCGCTTATTTTCGGTAATTTTGTTGCGTTTGTAGCATTTTAAGTAACTTGTGGACATTTCTTACTTATCACGGATTTGTTGCTAACCAACTTACTCCATATGGTAATTTAGCGAAGAGTTATGCCACCGTAGCTGTATGCATTATTGGATTTATTTAATTTCAGCTTGTCGTTTAAAGTGAATGGCTGTTGTTTGATATCCCTGGTATGGTTGCGCTTGATGTGTATGTTGACAAGGTGCCTACCTGTCTATTACCCACTACATCGTTCATACTGGCTCCAGGAGACAGTTGGTTGTTGCTGGAGGGGACGGGGTGCACGGTTCTTGTGGCCGTGCTAGGCTCAAAGAGCGGTTCCATGCACTCAGTGTGGAGCGGACTACGGTCCAGCCACCGCCTTGTGTGCGGTTGATTCCCCAAATACAGCGTGCTTGTGTTTGCCTGTGAAGGAGTGTGGGCCGGCTCCGTTGATGAAACGTGGTTCCCATCCGCATGCCTCCCGGTCTTATTCCTTCGGGTTTACACTGGATATGGGGTATGTGGTTGGAGCTGTGGGTGATGCAGCGCAAGCCATCCATGGTCCCTCTGTAGGCGCAGGCGTCCTGTGGCTTGCCACAGTGACAGGCAAATCCGAAACCGGATGCCGCCAACCATATATATATATATATATATATATATATATATATATATATATCGTTGCCGCTCACCGTCTTCCTTTAAATACTTTGTGTCAAATCATTGACTATCTTCTTCCTTCACTCGGTTTCTCTCGCTTTCAGAGTCATACGCAATGAGATCCGTAATGGTATTGCACTCATTCGACCTCCAGGACACCATGCTGAACCCGATCAACCCATGGGGTTCTGCTACTTCAATTCTGTCAGTATTGCCGCTCTGCACATGCTCCGAAATCCACGTGTGTCCAGAGTGCTCATCTTCGATTGGGACATCCACCATGGGAACGGAACCAAATTAGCGACATCCCATCACCCGGGATTGCTCTACATTAGCATTCATCGACACGACGGAGGCACCTTTTTCCCCGGAACCGGTTTCGTCACCGAGCAAGCATTCAGAACAACGGACTTTTCTCCTCTCGATGAGAATTCACGCGACAAAACCGGACGCACGCAGTTAATCAACATCGCTTGGGAATGCCCCGCACCCACGTCTGAAAGCTTGAACACCCACAACAGCGAACTGAACGCAGGCGATCGCCGTGAATTATGGCGCCGAGTGAGTACTGCCTGCATACCATCCCCAAGTTTTATGTGACACAGATCAGCGTGATGCGTCAGTCGTCTTCCCAAACTCTAACAAGCAAAGTGCCATAACCTACAATCGATTTCAGTCGTGCAATACTTGAGTTCAGAGAGGTTTTGAAACAATCCGGTTGTTTCCAAACCTCTCTGAACTCATGATTTCTCGATCATATTTTCCAAGTGTCTTCCAAGATTTTGGATCCAATACGTACTTTTCCGCTTTCCTCGAATATGTTCTCACGCACACTAGAGAGCCCTGTGAGACAGTAAAACATATCGAACGTATTTGCCAGCGCTTGTAATCTCTGTCTCCTAACGAATACCTTGTTCAGCAGACCGGTTGTTATCACGTGTGAGTGTGCAACTCGATTACGTTTAATGCCGCACACACGCCGCGTTGTCTTGTATTCGCTATTCCTCTCTCGGTTTCCTCTCTGCCCCCCCCCATCCGGTGTATGCGCATTGGTAGTTCGGTTGCGGAAGCAGATATATGTGCGTTTACACGTTACTCTCCTATGCTACTTCATCCGAATCGAAATCTGCTCCTATAAATACATAAATAAAGTGTTATTCCCGACTATGCGAGACGCGACGTCAGAGGTATGATCATGTGACGAAATAATAACGCATCACATTGTTAGTCACCTTTTGAGGCATCCCGTTAGATTGTGACTCGTACTTCCTGGACACTAGTCTCCGCTCATTTCTACGTTCGGAAGTTAAAGAAATCTATATCATTGCTTGGTTACTGCTTGCGGTCCCATGGTAACCAAACATTGCCACAACGCATCCGTGTGTTGCTACTGCTGTACTCCCTCATATATTTCTCGTCGGTTATTCCTATTTAGTCACACATCGACCTAGACGACTTCATCGGAATCCATTTGTTACCTGCACTTTGTCTGTTCCGTGACTTTTCGCACGTCGCAATACGCAGCGGCCTAGGCGTTCCCACAACATCGCTGACTGCGGATAGCGACCTCCGGTCAGTCATTTTTAGCTGTGTTGACAAGATCACTTTGTGTTGAATTTCTTCGTTCGTTGGAAATATTTCGTGGAAATTAGGTACAATTCATATTCATTTCTGATTGAATTTTTCGACCAGAAATACTTGTGTTTTCATCGCTTGGTTTCGGTGATCTTACTATCGCCATTTTCTCCATCAATTGGCCGCCACCTTGTTTTCGGATTATTCACAGTGCCGAAGCAATCACCCTGTGGTACTTATTCCAAAACAGTCGGATACCGTGCAAATGCCCTCACGTGTGTTTTGTGCCAAGTTAAATACCACATTTCGTGTGTTTACTTATCGGTTCTGTAAGTCAACAGTTAGCCAAACCACGTGAGGCTGGTAGTATACTTCGCTCTGCAAGGTCAGCCTCGTCCGACCAGAGGCGTTATAATCTCGTGATCTTCCATGCGCCGAAGTCTAGTGATCCATCGCTCCAAGTGCGGTACGATCACGATGCCGAGATTTTACAGAGTCTAATTGACAGACTCCCCGGCGCTTATGAGGACTCAGTAAAAGCGAGGCAAATTACCCGTCTTAGATAGCAAGGTGATCAACAAACTCGGCCTATGTGAATCACTTTTGTGGACGAAATCAGTCCAAAACTGATCATGTCCCGCCTAAGTCGGCTGAAAGGTTTGAAGATCCATGTTCTTCCAGACCTGGACCCAGTAGAAAGGGAGCAACTCAAGTCTGCCATCATTGAGCTGAAAAGACGCACTGTTGAGAGGGAAGTAAATCTTCGTATCGTAAATTTTTGGCGGTTTCCAAGAGTCTGCGAGTCAGGATAAACAGGCTGCTTGCACTTCAACCACTCCCGGCAATTCCTGCTTTGACCTGCTAGTAGCCTTCACAAACGTTTGCAGCGCGATGAGCTTTGTTGTTTCGTTGCGTCTGAGCGGCCAGACGTAGTGATACTCACAGAGACATGCCTGCATCCAGAGTTATACACCCAAGAACTTGAACTGAACGGTTACTCGTGCTTCAGATACGGTAGACTAACAAATGACCGCGGTGGTGTCTTGTTTTACATCCGGTCTTCCCTGCGTGGGAGACTTATGAGTCCCTACCGAAGGGACGATGGTTTGTGTGAGCTACTGTAGTGCTCCATCCGCCTCAGGCACAGAGAACTACCTCTGGGCGCAGTCTATCTCAGCCCCCTGAGCCGTTGTTTTGATTGGATGCCCCATCTTCGAACCCACATGAGTCGTCCACACTCTCTACTTATGGGCGATTTTAACTGTCCTCGAATACGATGACCTGATGTGCATTTGATGCCTGAACATAGTGAGGTTGAAGCAAAGTTCGTGGATTTGCTACCTGCAACTGGTGCATCGCAACACATATGCCAGCCAACACGCGTAACAAGACGTTCAACCCCGTTCTGTCTCGACCTGATGTTAACGAGCTACGAACAACGAGTGCGTGACGTTCGGATCTTGGATCCCCTTGCTACAATCGACCACTCAGTACTCATAGCTGATATGGAATTACCTTTGCCGTATTCACGTCTGCTGGAACCAGCTTACAACTACTGGAAAACGGACTTCGATCTTCTAGCTCGAGCCGCGAGCCAACTGGATTGTCTCTGTCACAAGCTGCATCTGTGGAAGACTGTTGGATATTTATAAGAGGTTGACATCATTGTGTTCTCAATTTGTGCCCTTGAAATGTCGGAAGATTGGGCCGATTAAGCCTCATTGGTTTGACAAGGAGTATGGAAATCTGGCGCTGAGGCGGCGCAGACTGTGGAACAGATACTTCTCTGGTTCTGGTAATGACTACGAAGGGTATAAAAGTCCGCGGAACCTCTGCAGCAGTGCAAAAGGGAATAAGCGCCGACATTTCGAAGAGCAGCTCGCAATCGCCACGAAGACCGCCCCAAAGAGAATCTTCACTTACCTGAAGCGACGTCTGAAGCCGGCAGGTGATGTGCCAGTGCCGGATGGCACGGATGGACAGCCCCTAACCTCCAGCACTGAGCGGGCGTCCGTGTTGGCAGCGCACTTCGCTTCTCTATTTGCAAATGACCAGGTGTCTGTTCCGAGTTCGACGTGTACCGCTTTTACCGAACTCGACAATCTGAATTGCGGTGTTGAAGAGATAGGTCAACTACTCGTCAGCCTTGACGGCACCAAACCTGCCGGACCTGATGGGCTTCACCTACTGATTCTCAAGTCACTTTCGGCTATCATCTTTCTTGTCGTGACTGACTTTTCCAACTGGTCGCTGTCCGAAGGTTCGTTTCCTATTTACTGGAAACATTCGGTTGTGAAGCCTATTCCGAAAGTTGGCGACCCTAGCAAAGTAGACAACTACAGGCCAATTTGTCTAGCGCCTATTTTGGCAAAGGTTGCTGAGGAAATCGTAAAAATTGGTTATTGCAGTTGCTACAGTCGAAAGAGGTCCTGACTCCCGTACAGCGCGGTTTTATGTAAGGCCGCTCGTGCATTGCAAACTTGCTTATGACGAGGCATGAGTGGTTGAAGGCAATAAGCAAGAGGAAGTCTGTCGACGTGATATTCATCGATTTCAGTAAAGCGTTCAACAAGGTCACCTTTGAGGTTCTCCTTCACTAACTCAGGATGTGGGTGTCGGTGGCTCACTGCACTGGTGGATCCGCGACTTTCTTGTTGGACGAAAGTGGGGGGTACAGGTCGACAACCATCTAACTGACTGGTATCCCTCTACAAATGGCGTGCCTCAGGACACTGTGCTGGGGCCCGCTCTGTTCCTGATCTACATCAACAATCTACCTCAGCTTCTCCGGTCGCCTTGTGCCTTGTTTACGGATGACATGGAGATTAGTAGAGAAATTGACGCTCCTGACGACTGTGGCGTACTTCAGCAAGACCTCAACCGCCTATTCACATGGTCTTCAGAAGTTCATCTACCGGTCAACCTTGTCAAGTCTATATTTATGAGCCTGGGGAAGGGTGCAGACGGCCGAACCTACACCCTTAACGGCCAACCGCTATATTCCACACCCTCCTTAGAGGACCTAGGTGTGCTCTCGGGGTACGATTTGAAGTCCGTGGACAACACGAACAAGCTATGTCGTGACGGACTACGCATGCTTTTGGCGCTCAAACCTAGCTTCGGCACATGGTCTGAAGTGGTTGCCACTCGCCTCTTCCAGCGTTAAACCAATGCTTGAGTAAGGTTTGCCCGCGTACTTTCCGATTATCCGAGGCGAGCCACAAAAATCGAACAGGTCTAACATGTTGCTACCATGCTGATCCCGATTTTACTTGACTTGAGGTATAAAGACCGGTGCGAGAGACTAGGACTCTACACCTTGTCCTACCGTCTGGTGCAAGTGGACCTCAATATGACCTACCGTATTCTACATCTCGGTGACTTCCCCATGCTGAGGCTATGCAGCACACACGGACACAGATACGAACTCGTTGTGCCGGATGTGAAGCCGGTCCCCACCCACTATGCTTCGAACAGAGAGTGGTAAATATTTGGAACAATTTGCCCGTACATGTGATGGACACAACATCTGTGCAACAGTTCAAACGTTGTTACCTTTATATTTTACTACTATTCGATTAAGGGAACGATTGCACATTTACGATGACATCTCACCTTGGTGAGTTCTGTAATACCGTGAGTCAGATTTTAAATGTTACCTGAAAACGATAACAACATTCACGGCTGACAAATTTTATAATGTTTTTCACTATATTTCAAAAGACTTGTACAGAATTTGTTTCTGCTTGCTCTGTAATACAGTATTCAGTATTCTGTTTCATTGGCATTGCAAATTCACATACGATTGTAAAGCGAGTTTGCTGTCGCACACCTTGTTCTCCACTCATTCCCAGTTCGGAATAATCCCCTCCACCTTGTCATTGGTTGACGTTAGTACCACTTTTCCCTCCCAACGTTTGCCACACGTTACGCAATTGGGATGCGTTGTTTGCTAAATTCTGACGCAGAGGAACTCCGCCAGGCTCAACAACGCATGTACTAGGCGTTTCTATCGATTACGATGGGATTGATTCGGCAACGGTACATCGAGAATGTGCTTTCATTGCGGAAATCATCGGCAGGGCGAATCCATCTCATTGTCTGCCGTCACCTATTTTTGTACGACACGGTAACGCACCGTCACTGTGGCTACATTTCCGTGGATTTGTGTATGGTCTTCACCGTCACATGATACACATTTAGATGAGGGTTGCTCGCGGTTCTGAGTGGCTTACTGATCAACGCATCAACCGTCAGCTACTATGTCCACGACTCTGCTCCAATCCATGGTCATTTCTACTTGATAAGTCTAAACTAGCACGAACATGATCATAGAGTGCAGTTCTTGGAACAAAGAGCACCGAACACTCCATTTCGGATACAGTTCCAATGATTTGGATTACCGAGGTCTACCTCAAAGTAAACCCAGGACCCAATGGTGGTTGCGGGTGCTCTGAAATCCTACCTTGAGGTTTGAGACAGTTTATTTGTTCGTCCCAGTCGACATGCTTTCCGGTATTTTCCGGCTTCTACATTCTTCCTGAAATCGTACCCGCGTTCTTATACCCCATATTTTTCCATGATTCTGAGGAGAGGGCTGAAACAGCGTACTCCCGCTGGGTCGATTGGTTTGATGTTTATTTCACCCATCTGCGCATCTTTCGGGGCTTAAATTCAACATCCTTCTGTGATTGTTGTCTCTGTGGTTTTGTTTGTCTTGTGCAACTAAGTAACTCGCTTCAGCTTGTAGTGCCCATTTCTGTGGTTGACAACTACGCAGGAAATTCTAATTTTCTCAATAGAGTCCATTTCTATCCTAGCCTTAGACTCGTGAACGGAAAGTCTCCTCATCATAGGATTCTGTTTGTGTCCGTCTGTCTTCTCTATTCCGCGAACCACATCGTCTTGAGGGGCTCTTGTACCAGCCCACGGTATGTTTGCATGTACAATCCTGTCATCAAATTTGTGCTTTCATGTTACAACTGCGGCTGTTTTGGACCAGGTGGCTTGTTGAGTTGAACTAGCAGCAGTAATAATGTTTGTGTAGATGTCAGGCGGTATCGTCTGTCTGGTTACCTTTGGGAATTACGAAATCGCCGCCTACCGGTTGGACGGTATCCTCCATGCGGTTCACCACAGGGGGAATTGACGAGCAATACAATCAATAGGAAGTGGCACACTGTCTCGACTAATTCGCGGTGTCGTCTTCCTCGTTCCTTCCCCCGTTCGTAACACAACTGGCTGAGTCTTCTCCGTACCCCAACAATGTTGCGTCATTTTCCGATCAATATGTTTTTCAACTTTCATTGTTGACCATATCATTTCTTTCCTTCGTTCGCCCGCTCCTTTTGCCGTGAACAGTTAGTTATTGATCACACGTTTCATACTCTGACAGGTCACACCAGACTTGCGGAACGAGCCTCCATTTGTCCACAAATGCGTTCTTTCTATTTTATTCATTCCCAGCTTGCAGCAACCATGCTAGTCGCTTTGTGAGCACACACACGTCTACTTCCCCTCTCGTTTTAAAAATTGTTGGGTACTCATTTCGCGTGCCTTCCCACCTTCACTTCCCATCATTGCGGTGAATACAAGATTTTTGTTTCACTCGTCTCACATCGACATTGGCGGTTAGCTAACGGAGTTTTTGAACTCTACTCTATCCTTTTACCTTAGTATCACTCAACAGCTACGGACTGCCCAAGAACAGGATTTCGTGGTTGGGCATGTTTCTCAGATTTCTCAAACAATATACAGTGCTCACTTACCAAATCTGCCGCTGGGGTGTTGATGTTGGAATACGTATCGGGCACCCTAGCCATGGACCGAAATGACTTAAGTATTGCCAAACGGAGATCATCTCTAGCATGGTTCATACTGTTACTCTTGGCTTAACTTGTTAACTTACTAGTAAGTAGTAGGTTGTGTTTATTTTTGCAAAGGCTCATCGCGGTCAGGCTATCAGAGAACACTTGGATGTCCCATTCATCAGGCACATCCACTAGGTCCCGCTTAATCCGGAACCATAGTCTTACACTTACCATCCACTGAGCTATGAATGGCGGCGGCGTTCTACCGTGTCCGATTAATAATTGCCACATAGCGTAGCTCATCATCTACTGCTACGCATATTGTTACCGTGCTGCTGATTGGACTGGTACGCAGAGGCACAGAATCCCTCACTGAGCGTTACACGTACTATAAGCTTGCCTGGCCGATTCCTAATTATTGAGTCCTGGTCTGGGAAGTTCTGTTGGTTTTTGTGTAGATTCGTCGCAGCCAGACAGTCAGCCGGACAGCCATTCCGAAAAGCCCTGCATTAACTAGTCTACCGGCCATTGGCTGGTCGTCCTTCACTTTTTTTACACGTGTTAGTTCAACGGTGGTAAAAACTCCAACAAGTCGCGTAAACACGAATGAGCAGTGTTTCGCGTTCTGCGCCAAAAAGTCTTAACTCGGATAATTTCCGACCTACCAACTGTCTTGCGTTTAACCGCGACAGTGATTCTACTCGGTGTGGAGTGAGATTAGATCCAACGAAGGGCTTAACAACGGATGAGGCGACGCGGGACGTCGGTTATGTCAGCCGCTCAAACTAACATTGGATGCTTACGATGTGCCATTTTACGCAGAAAAGTCAGGAAATCGTATACTCATGTGAACAGCCATGCGCAGAGGCGGCAAAACGATGAGTAACGTTGTGATGAGTTCCGTACAATGAACAATTTGACCTCACTCATTTTCCCTTATAGATACTCCCGCTTTTACTGTACCTGTTTGCTGTTAGACTTGGTCATATCGCTTCAATGGTAGTTCTGGTGCTACATGTGATGACAAAGAGCTACCAATGCCCGTGCAATTTTGAACTAACTTTGTCTACTGTTATACATTCCTTATAGTTGGCTGAGGTGTCAACGCCTGTAGCTAACTTGTAAAATGATTGAATGAATGGCTAGCTCTTTTTATACCGTATCAAGGGAGGTTTAATTGCTGATTCACAGTACGATGTTTGGCCTCATCCATCTGCGCTGCAAAGATTGTGGAAAGTTTGCCCCGTATGGGTTACTAATTGTTCATGCTTCCCTGATGCACTTGGTGGTGATTTCACCAGCACAAATCGGCCGTTTCGTCTTCGCGAGCCTCTGCTCTCCCTAGATAGATTCATACTTAAGCCGGACCCCACAGGTATCACCCATCGGTGTGTTGTTCGTCCTCTGCTATTCACCCTTCTCATCTGTGTGCTGGTGGCCGATAGGCAAGGCGGCGCAGTAGATATTGAGCAGTCAGACATACACAACGGGCGCATTTGCTCATGAACTGGTAATACTTGACGATGATCGCACGGACGGTCTAGCGGTAACGTGGCTCTCGAAGCGGATCGACTTGGATTTCAGGGAACATGGGGCACGCCTGGGCCAGTGAAGCTGTACCGGTTACCTCTAGGGAAGTACAGGGACGAGCCAACAAAACCAAACAATCCCTGCACAACTGTTTAGTTCCATTCATTGATTCCAGATTCCTCTCACGTTCAACTTGTGCTCTGATTTTCGTGAGGCACCACAACTGCCCCCATTTGCCTGAATTCATGTGCCTAACTTCTGGCCTTAAGTACTATGTAAATTTGCGTCCGCGTTCATTCACTTACTTAATTCACTCCTGTCTTGTGTCGTTCAACTTCGCTCATTCCTTTATAAGTGCGACGTGTTTCACATAACCAAATTTTTCAGGACTGTTAGCTTCTTCTCGGATCCGTGTATACGAGGTGGCAAATGTCTTACCAGTTTGCTACTCTCTTCTATTATACTGTAGTACGATCGATGCGAAATCGATCCTAGCAACAATTGTCATTGTATTTGTACTTCTTATGGTCCCAGTCGATCATTTCTTTTCTCTTCTAGTCTTACTTTCGAAGTAGACAGGCTGCACGTATTGATCCAAAACTGCCCGACGATCCGCACTGTTCCCTTGAAGTTTCTGCAAGCTCAGTGTGTCCTCCTGCCGGAGTTTCTGATACGGAGTTTTGCTGCTGTTCTTGTCATGGCAACAGCGGTAGTGATGGTGTCCGTGCTGCTGGAAGCACTGGAAGTAGCCGACAGTGTTCTTTTTGTCTTTCTCATTCCGCACCCTCTTCAAATTCGTCGATCCCCTCGGAGCGAAGTGTTCATGGCTTTACACCCGCCTATGGCGCCACGCGTTCCACTTTCCCATCAAGCGGTACGGAGGACTCTTCCCTCCCGCCCAATTTCATGCGTCCCCCTCTACTCGGGTTGGGTGATGCGGAATATTTGGCCGCCATGCGATGTGTTGTTGTCCCAATCGCGCACGAGTTCCGTCCAGATGTAATCCTCATTTCCGCCGGCTTCGATGCTGCGCACGGACACGGAGAGGCGCTGGGCGGATATAATGTATCACCGGGATGGTACGCGTGGGCAACTCGTCAGGTGAGTTATTTGCTCTTGCTGCTCATACTTTGGATTTGTTCTTGTGATTCACAATTCCACTGGGAACATGAGGCAAAAACCTCGTCACCATACTTCTGTCTACGCGTTTAGTCTTTCTAGTTCCTCCGTCGTTTTACATACTCGATCAAGCTACCTAATTACAGCGTCATTTAACTAAAGCGAACATCGCTTCCATTTGCATTCACCAAAAGCAATCGAGGATCGTTAGTCAGAGGTCTTGTGGTGTTCTCGAGCGAAACTCGGTAATGCACAACGATTCCGGTGGTGCGTTTCCGCACTTTCCAAATCCTTTATGCGATGAGTTATACCCTACAATGTGGTATCCTCTGATAGTCCATGGATGTGACTTTCATCCTTGTTTGTGGTTTTGTGTGGCAGATTTGTCGTAATTCTTGTCAAACACGGCGACACACTGCGTTTTCCTTGCTGCAAAGGTTCTGTTCTGGTTCTCAGCGCTCAGTGGATTTTTGAAATTGTTTTCCTTGTTTGATATGTTACCGCACTGGTGACCGTCCATGCACATCGGTCTATTAGATGCCCAGAGTGTGCATCAGCTACCGAGGAACCCACTATTGCCCACACGTTTCATTTCATGTGACCTCTGCATTTGTTCCATCAACTCCCAGTTCCCTAATCGGATTTCCTGTTTAAAGTGTCCAGATATAGTATTGTCTACCGGGAGGTGTAAGTTTGCTTATGCGCTTGGGCAGCGATAACCGTGATGAGGATTTTTAACCCTTTGCTCATTGCCGGTGTGCATGCATTTTCGTCAGGATTCAAATTCCCTGACATAGGGAATTTCGTATCCCACAACTCCTCCCCTTTATTTTTTGTGTGTGGGAGTCCTGGTGTATGTGGTCAGGTTTCGTAGATCCCAGCATTGTGAGAGATACAAAATAGGTGACCGCCTTTTTTAGTCCCATCCGTTCGGGATAGATCAGGGCCGTGCGTTAAGTGAGTTTGTTCCACTCTCGGCCATGTCTGGTACCGGCATGGGTATGTTACGCGCATTTACGGCGATGGACAACCATGTTGCATGCTGACCTCTCTACGCAAACACAGCTCGCCGGGTGTCGACGCCATTCGTCCAGAGGCATTGGAAGCAGCAGCAAACCAACTGGCAGGACATTTAGCTCAGTTTTTCCAGCACTGCTTAGACCAGAATCAAGTTACCGCCATGTGGAAGCTTGGAATAATAACCCCAATTTACAAAGGTGGAAGCAGAACTGATCCCTTCAATTATCCCCCAGTATCCCTTCTTCCTACACTCTCCAAGGTCATGGAATCCATAATTGCCGATGCACTGGTGTGCTTTCTGGAAAACCGTAACATCATCACTTCTGAGCAGCACGGTTTCCGTCGACAGCGGTCATGCACAACGAATTTACTGGTCGCACGCAGTAGTTGGACCAAGTCGGCAAACGCTGGAGAATGCCTTGGTGCGACCTAACTGGACTTTTCGTAGGGTTTCGATCGTCTGGACCATCGGATACCACCCTCCAAGCTCCAGCATTACGGGATCTGCGACCCTCTTTTAACCTGGATTGCCAGCTTTCTACTTCAATGGCAATTAGTGGTCAGAGTTCGGAGCTCTTTATCGGACCCCATACCAGTCGAGTGTGCTGTGGCGCAAGGCTCACTTCTAGGTCCACGTTTGTTTTTCATGTTTGTTCATGACCTTGCACAAGGAATCGCTTCAAACTTTTTAATGTTTGCCGACGATATCAAGAAGTGGAGCAGCATCCAGGTGAACGCCGATCAGCATTTGCTTCAGAGTGACCTATAACATTATATTTTCGGTAAATTGCATGCATGACTTTTGAGTGGGGATTTACAACAATTTGCCGAGAAGGGGCGAATGCCCCGGCATAATAATAATCATTGGTTTTAATTAGACTTCAAAACTTTTGGGCGGAACCGCTTCCATGGTCACCATGTGTTTGTGTAATCCGACACTGAATGTATGAAATATCAGGTTGCGGGAATCGTTTTAGGAGGACTGGGAGGAAGCTCCCCTCATATATGTATCATATACCATCAGTGATAATCGGAGGGTGGAGAAGCAGATATCCGAGATGTCGAGTTTGGTGAAGCAGAGAGTTGATAAGTATTTCGCCGAAGCCGGATATATAAATCCCCGATTGTTTAAGATAATTGGACGGTGGTAAATCTCGCGTGTTTTGGGGAATTGTGCGCTTATGTAATTCGAGATCACTGATGCGTTATTTCCGGAGCCATATTTGTCGACCTTCAGCTGGTGCGTACGTGCCATCCGGTCAGGGTCACAAATTTTGACATCCATGACGTGCACCGATGATCTCTTTACTGCGAGTATATCTGGCTTGATGAATGAGGTCGCTGTTGGAATTCTTGGTTCGAGAACGATGTTCACTGTTCGTTTGCGGACTTTTTTGACGAATTGCTCTGCAGTGACATTGTGGTGTTTACACCTTGCTCCATGGTTGATGCCACATGATTGTAGGACATGGGACAGAGTCTCCTTTTGTCTACAGTTGCCGCGACATAGCTCGGATTGGGTCTCAGGCTGTCTTCTTGCGCGTCGTACTTTTGTAGAGAGTAACCCACCTCGAAGCTGTATTGCTCTAAAGAACAGTTCAGGGAATATCCTGGTCGGATTCCGCAGCCACTGATGTGCAGCGGGTGTGATGACCACTCGCCGGAACGGGCACCCGTCTGCTGAGGGAAGTAGCGCGTCTTTCCATGCTTCCGCGGTTGATCCCTTATCCATCACCACTCGGTTGCCGATGGTAACATTGGAGCGCGCCAGTCGATGAATGGAGCCAGCTGCGGGATCTCGGATGGCCCAGCTAGTAATTGGGTGTGCATTATTAAGATGTCATCCTAACCGGTCCTTCCGTAACAGTGGAATAGTGGCGGATAAGCAGGGTATACCGATACCAAAGTCCCCGATTGAGGCGTGGAAATATGCCAGATTTGTGTCAGTGGGCAACCGGAGCCATTTTCTCACATGGGCTCGAACAAGCCTGTCCATGCGTTTTAGCGTCTGTTTGTGAACAACGGCCAAGCAGTTTATGATGTTGCCTTGGAAGCAGGAACGTCTTCAGAAGCTCCAAGCGCTGGTAGGGTTTTAAGGGCACTTTTGTAACTTCTTCCAGTTGAGCACGTAACTCGCCTGCGGAAATTGGCGCGAGCTTACCTTTCCAACTAAAAGGCAAGCCCAACATCGTGAATTTCTCTTCTGGTTGCAAGGAAGGAATAATGAAATCTCCACAGTCTAAAGGGGCGGTGTCCAGTATCGTTAGTTTTCTTGAATGGTCCACTATAATGTTGACGGAGGTTGACTTCATCTGGTTGATGGACAATACTATGAGGGCCAGTTTATCACTGAAATGTCGCAAGCGCTTCTGCAGTGAAAACCGGTCCTGAGCAAAGATCAAGACGTCATCAGCGTAGGCGAGATAATCAATTGGCCCTACTGGGGATGTCCAGGGTTCAGAGAGTAAATCTTGCAGAGCTTCGTTCAGCGTCATGATAAATAGTAAGGGAGAGAGTGGGTCTCCCTGTCTAACTCCTCTTTCCGGATGGAGGTGAACATTGTTGAACGTGGAAGTAGCTGAGGAGTAGTAGGAAGCAAGGTAATCCAGTAGCAGAGGGGGTGCGCCAAAAGCAGATGCTGCGCGTAGTAAGGATTGATGAGAAATGGAATCAAGGGCTTTGGAAATATCAATTGAAGCAAAGGAAAGTGGAGAGTATGAAGAATGAGCGTGTCGCAGTGCGGCGTGCATTATCGCAGGTGCTTCAAAGCATCCATCCTTACGTAGGAAGCCGAATTGTACACGATTTGAAGAAAAAGTGGGAACCCAGCGGTCAAATAGGATTCGATGAAGCAGACGAGTAAAGACGGAAGTGACGGAAATAGGCCGAAATAACTCAGGCGAAGAGGGTGCATCTGCCTTGGGAACAAAAGTGATCCGTGCTCTATTCATTTGTGAAGAGAAGGGCGAAGAAACGAGAGCATTGAGAAACGCAGTTACGAAAACGGGGTCCATCCTCAATACATCCCGTGGTGTGACACGGTCAACCCCCGGTGCAGATCCTTGCGTCTGACGAATCGCTGCGCGCAGATCCTCTTGGGTGATGGGTCTCACCAAATCCGGGTTAGTGGGGATGATATTGCGAGGTGGACGGTCGTCACATACTGGAGGCTGAGAAATGGTTTTTGTCCAGAAGTCCGTAAAACCAGGGATACGGTCGTCTTCTTGCAGGAAAGCCGTTCGCCATCTGCCATCAATAACGGTTGCTGCTGCATCTTTACGCCTCGTATGAAGGAGACGTTGGATGTGGCCATATTGTAGGCGTCGGCGTTGCTGATTGTTCTTAATGACTGGCGGTACCTTTTTGCGTTTCGTCGACGCCCATCTACGAGGGAATAGGCTGACACATACGGCATTAATCTCTCTACCATACTGTTCCCGCGAGATGTCATCCGGTAGGGAAAGCAGCATGTTGAGAAGCACGGAATTTGGTTCGTTATTGGCAGCTTTGCATCCACGCGCCAATCGTTGTGCCTCCGCGAGCAGAAGGCGGAATGGGGCTGTGTCATCGACCATCTGTTTGGTAGAATGCGAAACTGAGACTGCGGAAAGGGAGAGAGGATTGATCAAGTCAGCAGGAGCACTGAGAGGCAAAAGTGTGGACGTGGGCCATGACCCCGATTGGGAGTTTAGTCTATCGTCCGCGTTTAAGGGCGAATCCTCTCGCCTCAAAACAACTTCCTCCAGACTGCTTTGTGATGCATCCAGGTCCACGGGAAGTAGACAGAACCCAGTCAGGATGGTGAGGTTGGCTTTCTGTATTGTGGATGAAGCAACTGTTGCAGTGGAAGTATTATTGTATGTATTACATCGAGCAATCTTGTTCGTCGGTGCGGGGTTGCTGGTAGCTTGGATGTCTTCGGTTGCCACATTCCGGGTAAGTTGTATTAGTGAGTGATGTCAAGAATAACGAGTTCGATGGTGTACACTAGCGTCGCTGCAGCGGTGAAAGGGAGGACGGTTGAATAAGTATCGGAGCGGGCGAAACCCGAGACTCTACACACTGCGCACGCCAATCAGCACAGTGCCAACCGATGCGCCGCAGACGTTTCCGTATGCCCTCCTTCGTCCGCGATGGGAATGCTGTCTGTAATTTGTGAAGTAAAGTAACGAGTTTAGGGCAAGATCTAGCAAGGTTTGAGGCCGCTTTACTTAGCTGTCTATCTTCCCTGGCCGACCAAGTAAAGGATTGTGCAGGAAGTCGTGCTAGACAGTCTGCATTGTATTGGACGGAATGTCGATGTCGTCGGTGTTGTGATAGGCCTCTTTGCGAAACAAAGGAACGCCGGCAGGTATGGCAGCTGAAATCGTGGAAATTGGCTGCGGCCGCAGAAGCCAGAAAGATTGTTGGATTCCTTCGTTGGGCGGCGAGATGTATCAAGAGACCACTGTGTGTCTTAAAGGTCCGAGGGCATAAATCGCAAGTTATAAGTTGTGCTACGGTGGCAACCGGTGGGGTGGGTGGCAATGGGTTCGCGGGAAAAGAAATAGGATGATACGACTCCATTGCATGGTAAGTAGGCAGTTGCGAGGAGGGACAAGGAGGAGAGACATATGGAAGTGTTGTCACGATGCGTGTGTGGGACAGTGACATAGGGGAGCGGTTCCGCAGGCTGGATTCGGATGCAACAGAGGCTGGTCCGTTTGCAACGTTGGTATAGTATCCAGCAGTTCCGCTGGTCCGATGGTTCGTGCCATGGGAAATAGAGGGACAAGCCGAAGCTTGCGTCGCGGGCCGTTCATAGGCCCCGATCCGCGGCTGGGGTTTTGGGTGTGGTGGTTGTGGTTGTGGAAAAGGGGCCGAATTTTCGGGAGGAGTGTTTACTACGGCGGGTGAGACTGGAAAAGATTCATCGGATAGCTAAGGGCAGAGAAGATGTAACTCTGAGTCGCTCGGAGAGGCCTTTGGACCTGATGGGGTTCCGAGATTTTGTTTAGCGAAGATTCCAACAGCCGTGGCAACAGCAGGAGAGAAATGACCGGAACCCGAGGTCGGGGGCGGGCATACCGAAGAGTGAGGGGCGTTTGGCATGACCGGGCTATCTCAAGTGAAAAGGCTAGAGTCAGAACTAACTGTTGACGAGTGGCAGATGGTGGCTTTCCGCTGTCTAGGTTGAGATAGCTGTGTAGGCCGGCGATTCCATTTCAGGAGTTGTAGCCTTCGCGTGATAGCTGCCTCCGTCCTTTTCGGAATCCGGTGTGTAAGCTGTGTCACCAGTGTCCTCCGAGTCCGTACATGGGCGTTCATCTCCGTCGCCACTCTAAGTAATTCCTCGTCCTCTTGCTGGGTCCACCCTTCTAGTCGCACTGTTAATCCTGACCTTAACATCTCCAGATATTCGTTAGGGTGCAGCCGCCACAAATGCCGCAGTAAAGCAGCCCGGGATTGGTAATCCCGTGGATAATGGGAGCAGGCGTGGCGGGAGGAAGACGATGGGGGGTTGGGTGGGATGTTGGAGGTTTAGGGGCTGTGCACCGGGAAGCTAACGGTAAATCGTTGTGTAAGTAATCCATTTAAGCAAGGTTTACTGAGACACGCGAGTGACCATAGGGCTCAGGACGCATAAATGTAAGCTAAAGCATATAATGCTAAAAAACCTACGAAGAAGAAATATGATTAAGCCTAGTAAAAGTAGCTGGATGCTTTAAAGGAAAGAGACTAACAAATTTCGCAGACATGCAGGGTCAATGGCGGATGGGTGCGGAGTCAAGTGAAGTGCAAAGGAAAATGTAGGTAATGTGGGTGCCCAACATGTAGGCATCACGATATCAGACATACTAGACAAACAATCTAAAAAGGTGGAATATGGATGGGGTATAGCGGAGAGTAAGAAAATGAATGAAAGACCGTCTAGAAGAAACGCCCCAGGGTAGGTAATGTTGGTAGCACCTAATGTCCGTATGCAAAAGAGATAATCAGAAGATCAGCCCGAGACGGGATATAAGTGTGACCTAAAAAATAAAATGATATTAAATCCACTGAGAATAAGTTACTCTAGTTTCCTGAATGCAGTGACGGCTAAAATCAAAGGGAAATGGGGCGGAAAATATTATTTTAAAGGACCAAATCCTAAAAGAAATGCCTGTCCTGGAATCTGTTGCAATAAAAAGAAGGCGAAATAAATTAAGGACGGCCGTTCTATAGGTGAGAAATAATCTATTTTAATGATCTAGAAAAATTAGAAATCGAAAATAATCTGCATTATCGGAAGGAACATTGATGCAAAATGATGGAAAATTACTTCAGAAGAAGCTAATACATTGACTCATTATAACAAAGGACGGACTAATGCGACAAATAATTTTAAACAGTCAGAAAATCCGGGGTCTATAAAAATTACAGACAATAAAATGCAATGAAATAGGCCCCATCCCTTTTTGTTTTAATGCACTAATGCACCAGGGCTGTCTCCAGCCAAATAACGAAAACTTTAATAAGTTTTCAACCATCCGGGCGATTCTAATGCTTTAAGCACCAATGAATAGAGTTTTCAAATCTTTACAATATGAGTACAAACACAATGCTACGGGCTAGGAAAATGAGCTAGAAACCAATAAAAATGCCAAGAGCTACTATTTTTAGCAATGCAACTAGTTAAATGCTAACATCTCCATAAAGAAAAATCAGATTGCGGTCAATACAGGCTTAATCGATGTAGAATGCAATTCTACAGATAGGAAAAATACCGATCCTGATATTAGCATATTTATCATTTACCCTGGTGCGGAGTATGAGAAACTAAGTGATGTACTATTAATACAAGAATAAAAACGCACCTACGACTCACACAGAGAAAAGAAGCGCACCATTAGATAGAGCTAACAAAACTGAATAAGAACGAGAGAAAAGTGAGAAACTACGCCCTAGGTATTACGCACTCTGGTTAAACCGACCGTTCATTTCAATGGAGTCTGGTTTTCCACGTTTTTGACGAATCCATAAAACAATAATGCAATGTTTCTGCAGTATCCGACGCGGCGCACAAAGACGAATAAAACGGTATATAGATATCCGTGGTCGACCGTCGATGCACAGGAAAAATTCAAATCAGACGGAGCTCTGAAAAGTGCTGCCGTATGGAGTGTATCAATGGTCAACCCAAAACTTACTACATTTCAACTTCAGTAACTGTAACGTCCTTTCCATCCGACATCAGAGCAACTACTGATACCAGCTCGGAAGGAATGTACTGCAACAGTCAACTGTCGAACGTGACTTGGGTTTAAGTGGGACCAGAACAGTAGGAAAATCCCGCGAATGTGCCGCCTTCGAAAACGTCGTTGATCCAACTGGGAATCCGGTGCGCTGATGTGCCGAAGGAGAGCCAAATCAGCACACACGATTCACATGGTCAACCAGACAATGTTCACGTGCCCTGCACTAGCAGTCCCCGCTGTGCCGGCCACGTGAAGAATAAAAGATTGCTCCAAACAATCCGAAAAGTCTTCGAGGACTGGAAACCAACATGTCGAGCTGTTGCGACGAGCATTTGGACAAATAAACAGCTCCATATTTCAGTTGCTCATCTCAACCCACTGATGATGCCATCTCGCATGGCGGGAAACGTTTGCAAACAAACTTCCCAGCTCGACGAACGAACGATCAACTGAATTATCACCGGAGCTACCAGTTTTCCGAAAACTCCATATTTCGACAGATGCTCAGTGAGTATGTTCGCTCCCATGTCGAATACTCAATTCAAGCCTGGCATCCATGGCTGAAACACGGCCTTAATGCACTGGAGCAGCCACAGCGTCGGGCATTTAAGAACGTAATTTGAATGCGCATTCCTTCATACTAGGAGAGGCTGCAACGACTGGGGGTATTCAGTGGAAGCTATCGCAGATTACTAGGCGACCTGATTATGTCATGCTTGATTCTGCGAAACCCACATCATATGTGCCGCCCTTTACTGTGACTCAACACTAATACAACCATGAGGGGCCACTCATTGAAACTCGCTGTACTGTATAGCAGCGTGGACTGCCGCAGCAATTCCTTTTCCATTCGCGTCTGTCACCCGTGTAATGCTCCCCCAGAATCCGTCGTTACTGCATCTACACTAACAGTATTTAACAGACGGTTGGATGACACACTTATCCACTTACACTTTGTCACTTAACGCTACGTCTCCATCCTACACCTGGAGTTTACCATTGACTTGTTTGATGTTAACTGGGGGTACTGTGAATCTAAGCAGATTGCAAGACTACTGCGGAACAAATGATAAGTCCTTATTTTCATGATTGAAGTACTAACTGTTTCACTATCAATATTGTTATTTCGATATCCCCACCAACTATCCAACGTGACTTGTGCAACTTGTGAAACAACCCGTATGCATTCATCGTTCATTGACGTTCCTTCATGCAATTTAGACAACCCGTGTTTCTGTCTTGGCTCTTTGTTGTAGCGTGCACATCGTGTCAAGAATGAATTACCGTTAATATTTGTGTGTGGCATTACGATTTACTTCTCACACTGGTGAACATCGGGAAATTGAATGATTTTAGCATTCTCATTATTCGTTGTATCTCACTGAGCGATTGGCTTTATTGTTCAACTTTTGACACTCTAAGCATTGACAGTTATTGCATCGCCTCTCATTTTCATACTAATAGTGTCTATCACTGGCCGATAGTCGTGTGGTACTCGCTCTGGAAGGCGGCTACATTCCCACCGTCATAAGCGATTGCTTCAACGCGTGTTTGAATTCCCTGCTTCTTCCATGTCCTTCGGAACAATGGGTCCCGTATCTGGGCTCTCCATGTGTCACTAGTTCGGATTCCCCTTCTTGCCTTTCGAGTGCGCATTTGGATGTGTTACGAAGCGCCTCGGATTGGATTTCTCATTCGGAACTTCATCGTCGCCCACGTACAGAGGCAGTTGCCAACTTGCTGTCCACCATCCGATTCCACGCCAGCCGGGGATGGCGATGCATGCAGGATGTGTGCGATGACAATGTGGCTTTGTGAGCGTCGTTGCATATAGTATTCTTCTCCGTTACACGTTTCATTTGTGGCTCCTGATATTCTACTATTCCTATATTGAAATTGATACTACTACCGATAGGCATCTTTATTCACTTTTAGTGATATTGCAAAGCATAGTCCAACTTCTTAACTTACTTTCGTCATTTCGCACCCCATTACAACCACTTGTAACGTATTCTCAATTCCAAGTCACAGTTGGTTTCCCTCACTTCTATCTTCAATAAGATAGTCCATTTTGAAACGGTTGGTGTTTACCAAAACATCTTCTTACTAAAGCTCCGATACTTTTCAGCTTCAATTCACTGACACTGTTCGTTTGGGGCGTGGTATCTCAGAAACATTTCAGGTAATAGGGGGTGGATAATTAATATATATCTGCTTATTAGGGTCCACAACCAGGCTGTTTGTTCCGTGCGCGATGTCGTCCGTACATCCATTCATGCATCCATGCATGTCCTTCATGTATGTCTTCATGAAATCCATCCTTAATTTTGCAAAACAAAGTTTTACGATAGGCGCTCGAAAAGAAATCTATGTGCTCGTCAGATTCTGTGGGTCTAGTCAAGTAAGCTTGCCTGTATACTCCGTTCAACCTCTTTTCTTGACAGTATCCTCAGCGGAAGCTGGGGCAACCCAGCTCGAAATTCATTGGCTAGAAGCCAACTAATGAAGGCACATTTCCGTCTAAGTCAGACAGTGATGTCGCTTTTCCCTTGGAACCAGTCAACTATAACCCTTACCGGCAGTTGGTAGCTTCTGGTAGCACGGAACATTCCTCTAGGATATTTATATTGAATTATATAATCAGAACTATTTCGGTTTGTAACAAAGCTGTGTTTCTAGTATCAGTTGCTGGTTTTGTTGAGTTCGTCTTCTGGTTTCGGAAATGAGTAGTCCGGGACCCGAATAGCTTTGTCGGTTATCCAAGTTGTCAATGGAGATACAACTCTCCGAGCAGTGGTGAAATGTTTGGAGTATCGACCATCTCTATGTAAAGGCATTAGTCAGTCTCTGATTGTTCTCGACATTCGGAAATGATGATTGATGATGGCAGACGGCACTATTTAGACAAGTTTATTACTATTCTATTCCGCTGGCTTGGGGGAGACCGATGTGTGAATGAAGCTGACGGTAGGCAATTGACTCACTTGAACTATTTGAATCGACTAACTGCATTCTGCAGTTTGAAAATCATGACTGGTATTTTCCTGTTGTCCTCTCGTCACTATCGCAACGACTAACACAACTGTAAGGGTGAGCTCCATCGAACTAACGTAACCAGCCCTCAAGATCTCCGTCCGAAAAGACGTTGAACACCATGTCGACTCAGTCTTTCAGTGAGCTTCATGCTACTTTACCATGCCATTGTCTGATCAGCTTGGGTTTTATTCAATCGAGGACGTTATTGCAAAGCAACACACGATGATGCAGCCGGCTCGTTCGCGTGAGAAGGAGATGTTCTTGTAAGCGGTTACCGTTCAAGTGAAACTGGCACTTCAATGAGGCCTCGAGTGATCTTTCAGCTTGTGTGGTGTGCGCAAAGCAATGGAACAACTATCAGCTGGAGATAATTGGCTCGGCTCCCGTTTGGCCGGCAGACTAATAGTGTTGCCAACCATAGACCGTGGAACAACCGTTATCTCCTCGCACGGCAACTGTTCAAATATGCCGGTGCCAGTTGCTTCAGTTCTCGTATATGTCATGTTGTCAGCCTGAGACCCTGAAACGGTTATTGACGGTCACATGGAGGCTGATCGGACACGCAATTCCGTGAAACAGGGTACTTTGCTGAATCCATCATCTATGATGCCCTATAAATAATGTGCTTATTTGTCATGCAAATAGATTCTTGATCGAAGCGCAGACGAAGTTCTGTAATTCGCTGCATTACACAGCAGGGTAATCGTCCCTGGTCTAACTCTTTGAGACCCTATTTTGGAGGCAGACTTGTATTTCTTTTGTGATTATGGCCTTGTAATCTTCTTTTCCTAATGACGCACTGTCGAGTTTCTTCTCTTAACTCGCAACTTTTTATCACCTCTCTGGCGCAGTGCCTTTGGAGATATCCTTACCGTTGTAACTCTACACTTGCTCTGCGACCTTGAGATCTAGGGAGTTTACGTCACCACTCTTGGTGCTTTGATAAAAGGCGTCCTTCTGAACGCTGCGTCTTTTGTGGCACTCCAAATAGCACATTTTGGATACTGCGCCCCGATTTCGAACAGCTCTTGCTGATGTACAGTTGGTTTTCGTTTTGGTTTGGCGTCCGAACTCACCAGGAATATATGCACCATAGTTCGTTATAATGTTTGTGCTTTGCCTGACTGATCACCAAACACGTTCTACGTATAATGACCAATGTTTAACTATTACCCGATCTAAATCGTTCTCCAGTAGTCCGCCCCCAGCAAGTTCGTCTCCTTACGCCACACAGTCACTTTTATGTGTGTATGTTTTCCTTTAGGTCATTCATGGAAGCGATCCAACTGGAGCAATACCGATGTTGTTCCGCAACCACAACTTCACAGTTCTCTCACGCTGACTATGATTCCAAGGCCTGCCAATCCCCATTAACAGCCGGTTTCGCGCAGCTGCGAATGGACCACAGCTGACAACCGGGAGACTTTCTTTTCTCTCCTGTACACATTTCTACAAGTGATCCCTCCACGCTGTTCCGTCCTCGCGCACATGTTCATGTCAATCCCCATATATATTAAGCTCGCTAGTCGCCTATTCCTTTATTTCATCAGAGTACCACTTTGTTTCCAATCTCACTCATATATGTATTCCACCCGATCGAATCACCTTTTGTATATATCTTATTGCATATTCTAACTTTCTTATCATCCTACATGAATGAACTACTTCTCATCTCTCTTTTGCCAGTGCTTTTCATCCGGATGCGTTCCTCCGCTTTTTTTCTACTATTGCCTTGATTTTAAACATTGCCTTGTATTCCATTCTTCTTGTGTTTTCCGTGTACCAAGAATGTGATATTTGTTCCCTAATTTCCATTTTGATTATCTCATTTATTTGTGGTTCTTTCTTCCTCAGATTATGCACTGTATTCGAATACCTTCGATGAGATCTTGGCTCTTTGCTTACGGTTTGCTCTTTTCCTCATTCTCCTTTATGCACATGCTTTGTTCAGGTCATTTAACCTGGCCCTTCGTGCGCCCCCTGTTTTTGTGACTCGCGTAGCGTTTTCCGATGCTAAAATCCCGGCGTACTTCTGTTTTCTACATAATTGTCATCCTTTCCTCCCATTATTCCATCTCATGTTATCTCCAGTATTGATAATTTTTAGGACTAATCCTTCAGAGCGTCTCTTACGGCTTTTTGAAGTCAAGGCCAAACTGCCATCGTATGGCACGTGTGTGATATGCGGTTGCATATTGAAACATTTGTATAAATCGTTTTTCCCACCCTGACTCACTTCTTAGTTGGCTCCATTCATTCCTTTTGTCGGCTCATAATTCTCTGTATGCTTTGCAAGTGGAACATCTCCCGGTGTCTGCAGTGGTCGGAGGAAATGCGCACCACTGCCGAAACGGCCGTCTGGTGCTTTTTCGGATTATTGTTTAGCCCATCTAGCTTGTATTCTAATCGCAATGAATTGAATAAACCTGCTCCTGCGTAGTCGACTCAATTCAATGTTGCGTGACTTACCTCCGCATCTTAGGTGTTGTTAAAACGCGTGTGTAGATTGGGACCTTTTATCACTTCTGTTGCTGTCTTAGTGAACCTTAGGTGTTGACATTTCGCTCCTGGGTTTCTAGAATCTGATTAAGTGACTGCGGTTCATTTTCTTCACCGCGGCAGCGATGGTGAATGGGTCTGGCTAACTCGGAATTTACTACTTAGCCTTTCGCCGTAAAGGCGTAAGACATTGCTAGGATCAAGCAATATAGGTGATACGTCTACTTTCTCCCCAGATCGCGGATAATTCATTCCATCAATTAATCTCCGGATGAATGGCCATCCGTCCCTTCTGTCTATACGTTCGTTTGCATCAACTCGTTATGTATTTCACATACATAGCATAACCGACTCCTTGATAGAATGCAAAACGTCTGCATAGGCTAACTTGTCTACTACGTCCCTTGCTAACACACCAGTCCGCGATTTTTCTTACTCTTGCGTCGCCGATATTCCTGGGCTTTGCAAATCCTACAATCAACACTTTATCACACCACCTACTATGGACAACCTAAGAGCCATGGGATCATACGTGACGTTCGTTAAAAGCCATCAAGCCATCAACTTAATTTTAGTTTGATGTGTACGCTTCATTTTCTGAAATCAAGTATGTAAATAGTTTGGTTGGCGACCGTGGATTTCGCTTCATTGTTCGCTGTTTTCATTTGCTTACTTATTGCCTTGACTAGATTGGTGCGTAAATAGATTGCGACGCTCATTGCCATTGTGAACTGCAATTTGCATTGAAGTGAGCCTGGGTCAATCTGGTGTTGGATATTGCTACGTTGCTATTGTTCAAGCTGAACACATATCCACCGACTTGACAATTTCCTCCTTCGTTTGTGCTACGACGACAAAATCATTTTCAGGTGCTTAGTTTTCTTCACAGCGACGAATGAGTCGGTCTGTTTGTTGCCCGTTTGTACTTGGCCGTATATCTCAGAAACTTCGCACCATTTTGCTTCGAAACAACACAAGCAATGCCGTCCGCAGTATCACTGGTTCGACCATGGGGTCTCGGCTGGTTTGTCACGATGGTTGGCTCCACTGTTACACTCACATGGGTCACAACCTCTTTAAGCCACTCTACATCTCGCGCACTCACCTTTTGCCTTTGGCTCACCGTGCTGTGACTACCAGGTATCATAAATGTTGGTATAACGGGTGTTTGTATGTACAAAAAACCACTTACAGACACTTCGTTTTGCCACTTTCGGAGAAAAAGTCAGCCTGGTTGGCTGCCACGCGATGTGAAATAGGAAAACAAGCCATAGAGCGGTGCGATGTGACTACATTCGGATGCTCCTAAAGTCGTACGCTGATACAGAATGCCACTGCGTGATGATTCTATTTTGCCCATGCCACCTTCACTGCGGCGCGCACTTGGACGCCTGAGTGGCAGAATTCTTCGATGATTTCCATGCCCTATTCAGAATACCATTTGCTTATTATGCATGCAGTTTGCTCCGAGTAGTAGCCTTATATCTGGAGTCCGTACAACGCAGTTCTTTCTGTCCTTTTGAAATACCTCCGTTTCGCCGTTTTAGAATCCATTGGATAATCGTCTGTCTCAAGGCTTGACCTATATGTTCATAGAAAAATGATCGTGAACAAACAGACAAGCGATGTCAACTTAACCATGACCGGTGTGTTATAACTTTCGTTTACCGTGGATGTTAAGATTTGATTTAGGAAATCGTCACAAATTAGCCGAACACTATCAACATCGCATCACGATGTAGGTGTGAACTTTCACCGAAATCTTACGTGTTTCTGGATGAAATTTGGAAATTAGTCTTACTCGGAGTCGTTGCACGTTGTATTGGGATGAAACCAGCCGGTTTTGGCTACTCGTCGAAGCAGAGCCGTGTTGTTACATGTTGCAGCGGCAATCAGGCCGCAGTAATGTGCTCACTGGTTGGATGAGTTTTGTACTTATACGAGAATCGCGATATGGGTTCAGTGACGACCCCCAAAGATCGAATTGTAGGGTTTGTAGATGCCCACTAATCTGCGTTGTAGCACCATTTGATCCCTTAGTTGGATAACAACTTGAGATAAGTCACAACTGCGGGACGATCTCATTGTGGGTTTGAAATTGGTTAGGAACTAGGCGCCTGGTTCCATTTGAGACAGCGGCAAGGGCTGATAAGATTGCGACTTCGGCTGAGCAGTCACTAACAACGTTAGAGAAAGCGCGATTGTTCAGACGGGTAATCTTCAATATACTTTCGACGGAAGCGCAGTCATATTTGTATTTCTCTCATCGCTTATCACCTTCGTCAAGTAGAGACAAAATCCGTGATGGATCAGGAATGCAGTCCCCTCTTGTCGTCATGTTCCGCCTCATGGAATGGTGAGAATCATGGTGCTGTTTTCGTTGTTACTCATATCCAGCATATTGCACCTTCAACCGTCATTGTTTACGCTCCCCAGATAGATGTAACCCGACTGATTCGCATAGTTGAACATCTGACCTCCTGTACTATTCAAACACCGATGAGATCGGTCAGTACTAAGCTAGCGGATAGTTTTCGTAAACTTAGTGCAGTCCTTGTGCTAGAAATGGCTAAATCATTGTCCGCAACACGCGTTTTTTGATCCAGGCAGCAGCAGGTGTGCTAATCCGAAGCTTTCAGAGCGTGAACACAGTTCTTTTTATTGTTAAGTATAAGTATTTTGGTTACAATTTTTCTGGTTCCTCCCAACAGCTCACCAGCGCGATAAACTAACGGCCAATCCGGAAAAGCACCATACCACCGTTTCGTCCTACTGTGGGTAGTCGGTGGTGCGCATTCCCTCGGTCTCATGCAGGAAACCGAATCCATGGAAGTCGTTATCTCTGGAGGCCAATCGCCGTCCTCTGCAACGTTGGTTGCATGCTTGGCGTTGCAGGATAGGTTGTGCTATATCCCAGTTGGCTTGCGACAGTCTGCTACCATCTCCTGTGGCTCGGTGGCATAAGCTACTGGCTGTTCGGCGCAAGCTGCAGGAGACTGAACAATTGCTTACCAATAAGGAACCCCAATGGGGCGAAACGATCATATGGTGTAGTTCCAGGTTGGTGGTTAGATTGCCGCGATTGTGAGCTGTTGAGACGAATCAGTAAAACTACAGTTCTGTTGGCTTGTTGTGCGTAGTATCGCTAAGCACTCGATGGGGTCTTAGCTCAACTCATTTACATTGACCTCATGGAACAACCGGTTGGTTATTAACGCTCTTTTGCGCACTAAGTTATGTAGCGCATGGCAGTGAATGAGCACAATTCAAGCGCTCAACCCCATTCTCGGAATATTACCGTATCGTAACTGCTTGGTGTAAAACACAAAGTGCGTATTCGGGTAACATTTGCAGGCCAAACACATGAAGATACCGATGTATCGATCATAACTCGCATCGCCGGCATTTACTGAGCGCCAGGGTTTACTCGCTTCTTCATCTGAGATTCACCATCATCACTTCACATGGGATGCCTGAGTCGCAAATATCCCGTTAGTCAAAAACCATTCCATCCGATCTCAATCCCTTGAACACGTGGCTTGTTGGTCAATGGATTGTGCTCAGCAACCCAGCGATACTATGCTCGAGACGAACACCGCAACTACAATCATTGAAAACAGGGCGCCATGAGAGTTAGGTAAATATTAAACAGGACAAGAGCTAAGACACATCCAGCGACAACATCAAAGTCATCCGAGGTTTGTATACGCATTTGCACCTTCACACATGCACCACTGCGAAGGCATTGAAATAGGCTAATATATTTGTTATAGTATCCAAACTTAGCACATACCAGCCACGATATCGCCGTTCACCGTCACGTATACATGGATCGTTCAATAAAAGTTCCCCTGACCAGATCCCAGTAGTGTGGGGTTGAAATTTTTCACGTTTACAAATACCTATATCACTTTCACTACATTGGACGTTTTATAAAATAAAATGGACATTTGGCAAAGTAAATTGGATACATTGCGTTCTAAGCAGTAAATTAGTAACATATCTTAGCATAAAATGAGGAGTAAAGCGACTAGACAATGTTCTAGCCACAATGTGGTCATGCCAATACGTCCGAATTGTGTAAGCGGCGGATGCCACCGCAAACTCTTTTCTCTAGGTCCCGAACCACAATCAGAGGCGGTGACTGAGTTTCCCCTCTCCGCCATCGAAATTCGCGTATTTTATATGCCTGTGTAGCTATGTGGCTATTCAAAAGCCAGGCTACCAAATCGCATAGTCCTTTATGACTTAAACACGTGTTACGTAACTTCAGAGGGTAATTGTGAAACACTCGTTTTACGAATGGATTGCGAAGCGCAATCTCAATGGTGACCGCGATTCCCATTGAATGAAACTGGCCGATTCGATCACCGGGACCGTAACTGATGAAGCAGATATAACGACCCAATAGTCCTCTGTTACTCTTGGGCGAAGTTACGCAGTTGCTCGACTATCATGACTCCACCAAACCTACTCTAGCTTTAGTGGCCTATTGCTGTGGTTTGTTATCAAGGAGAGGGGTTACTAGACGATGTTCAGGTCACATTGTGGTCACATGAATGCAACAGAACTGTTCAAGCAACTGGCGATTATCGTCCGTCGTTCATTTTACCCGTTTTATGCAGCACAAGTCTAATACAGCGATGCTGGGTTTGACGGCCATGATAACCCACACACTCTTCCATAGTCATGCGCTGCATAGGTTCGCCCACAAACCCACAGAAAATAGTCGAAAACCCATAAAGTGACAGGGGATTACTAGTTCGCTGTCTATCTTTTTCCTCAGTTACGGTTCCACTGATCAAATTAGCCAAGGTTTTCTTCAATCCGTATCACGGTCATCATTGAGATTACGCATGGCAATCTATTCACAAAACGGGTGCTTCACTATGACACTGCAAAAATGCTTAACATTGGTTGAGTCATATTAGACTACATGATTATCGAG